ATCTACACCCTAACCTCTTCCATCTTTTCTTTTTTGGCCCTGTCCTGTCCTGGACTCTAGGTATTTATCTGCCTATGAAAAGCTCCCTTCCGGAAATCCTTTCAAAATAATGTCACTAAGCTCCAGCTCTCTTAAGCTACTCTGTCATTCTATTTTGCTGAAACATCATTTTTTCTAGTTCCTTTGGCCCAAACCTAGAGTTTTTCTTGACTTCCTCCTCTTACACCTTAGAGCCACCACAAATCATCTTGGTGGTACTTTAAAGGTATATTCCAAGGGCCGGAGTGATAGTACATCAGGCAAGGTGCTTGTCTGGCACATGGCCAACCCAGGTTCAGTCCCCAGTGTCCCATATGGTCCCCCAAGAACTGCCGGGAATAATCTTTGAACACAGAGCAAGGAATAAGCCCTGAGCACTGTTGGGTCACCCCAAAATAAAACCAGCCATCCAACCAACAAAACAAAACATACAAAGAAAAAATTATATCCCAAGAAGCTTTTGTTTCTTGCCACTCTCCTTGCTTATTGGTCCTGTGTGACAGGTCTTGGCGGTTCCTCTAGGTGTGTCACAGCACATCTGCTCTCCACACAGCCAGTGAGAGAATCATGTCAATACATTCCTCATCCCTGATAGTGGCTTTTAATGTCTCACCCAGAGGCAGCGCTATAGTCCTTTGAGGACCCGGTTATCCTTAAGACCTTGTTGCCCTGTGATGCTCATTCCCTCACTCTTCTGCTCGCTCCTGTATCCATCCACAGCGCTTCCACAGTTGCTTCCACTGTTGCCTGCACACACCAGGCATGTTTCTGTTCTGGACCTTCATGATTGGCGCCCTCTCTGCCCCTCAGGTATCTGTCCAGCTCGTCTCCTTTCTGCTCACTTATTTCATATGTCCCTTCCCTAAAATGCAGCTTTTCTGTTTCTCCCTCCAAATTTCTTATCCCCTGCTCTGCATTTCACCCCCCTCGGCAGTTTTCATAGTCTGGAATCCTTTATATTTTACTTATTTATTATGTAGCCCTTTTGGTACTACACCTGGCAGTGCTCAGGGCTTACTCCCGACTATTCAGGGATTGAACCTGATTGTCTGCATGGTAGGTGAGCACCCTACCCACTGTACTACCTACCACTCAGGCTCCTGTTTGAAGTGTCTTTCAAAAATTTTTTGTTAAAATTCCCTCTAGGTCTTTGGGAAAAGTGGTTATAAGCCAAACTGGAGGTGTATAATGATTTATTGAACTTGACCTTTCCCCCCCTATGTATCCCCACATAAACATCTCAAGGTTTAAATAATAAAGAGTCGACCTGGGTTTGATCCTTGGCACCTCATATGGTACCTCAAAACCCACCAAGAGTGATCCCTAAGCATAGAGCCAAGGAGAGCCCGGCAAGCTACCAAGAGTCTCCCGCCCGCACAGCAGAGCCTGGCAAGCTCCTCGTGGCATATTCAATATGCCAAAAACAGTAACAATAATGGGTCTCATTCCCCTGACCCTGAAGAGCCTCCAATACGGCAGCATTGGGAAAGACGAGTAAGGAGAGGCAGCTAAAATTTCAGGGCTGTGATGAATGGAGACATTACTGGTGCCGACTCGAGTAAATTGATGAACAATGGGATGACAGTGATACAGCGATTATATAGCCTATCTCCCTCCTCCACGACACTTTCAGTGGCATGGGGGCTTTTTCAGTTTTTCATGTCTTCACCTCCTGTTTTTCTCCTTAGAAATTTTTTAGAATTAAAATCCATTATATTTTATTTATTTGTAATATTCCTCCCTCATGCTAGAATTTAAATGTCTTTGAAAGTGGTGCTCTTTCATTTACCAACAGCTTCTCATTTCTCATTTCAACTCTTACACTATACAAATCCATTATGTTGTAGATTTAGTAATTTTCATTTGTGGGGGTTGCTGCATACCCAGTGATGCTCAGGGGTTACTCCTGACTCTGCACTCAGAAATTGCTCCTGATGGTGCTCAAGGGGCCATATGGGATGCCGGAATCTATCCTGATTTGGCTGTATGCGAGACAATTACCCTGCCTGCAGTATTACTGCTCTGGCTCTAATTAAATATTCTTGAATGCTTTCACTCTCCCAGCACTGTGCTAGGTACATGTGAATATTTAATTTCAAATTTCCCCTCCTTACCTCTGAAGTAAACATTGTAGCTCCCCTTTTGCAACTGAAAAACTCAGAGACTGAGAATAATACAATGTCTTTCTACAGGCAGTAGTAGATACTGGTATGTGGCTTTTAAAATCAGATTTTTAATTGCATTTTTAATAATAGGCTATCCTATACAATAATTTACTTTTTATTGTTTTTGGGCCACACCTGGCAGTACTCAGGTATCACTCCTGAACGTGCTCAGGGAACTGTATGTGGTCCTGGGGAATTAAAGTTACAGCTTCATGTAAGGCAAGTGCCTTAACCTCTGTACTATCTCCCCAGCACCTGGAAGGATCCACTTTTAAAAGGATATTTTGCACTTGAAAGGTAATTTGCAAAGAGTTGCCCTGGCTTCACTATTACTCTGTTTCCTTAAGTTCATATTTCCTTCTAGCTCAGAAAGTCAGCTGTCTCCGAGGACATTGCATTCTCCAAATCAAATCACATGATTCCCTGAACTTGTCCTCTATGTAAATTATATACTTCCACATATATCTCTTATATCTGACCAATTGCTTCTGCAATTTTGGAATGATCATGAGGGTGTATGTCCTTTATTTTCCAGAGAAGTAATTCAGTGATCGGAGCGGTAAGACGGGTTTGAGGGAGAACTTGGCAGATAGGTTTTAGGAATTTCCCTCTTTGATTCTGGAGTTAACTCAGAGGTCAAACCAAGGGATTAGCAGAAAGAGAAGAGCAGAGTCCAAAGGACTCAGAGAAGCTGAGAAAAGAGAAGAACTAAAGCCTGTGTGAGAGGAAACTGCCTTGGCTCAAGCCCAAGACTCAAAAACTAAGTAACTTGGAGGACAGTTGCTGCTTTATTCAAGGAAGGCCAAGGGGCCCCCTGGGTAAGTGAGGGTGGGGTGTGTGGGGTTGGGAGGGCTGCAGCATGAGACCAGGGGGCCAACGGATGGGGTGGGAGAACCATAGGAAGGAAACAAGATCATAGGGGCCTCAGTGGCAAGATGATTGGGAAATGCTGGTCTAAGACCCAGAGAAACTCTGTTTCTTGGATAGTGGAGTTTCCTGTTGTCTCCTTGTTTTCTCCTTTGCTGGTCTGCCTTCTGATATCAACTATCTGTTCCCACGTCTCTAAAACAAGATGATGGTGGGATCAGGGATTCTGTAAGGGCACTGCGCACTGAGGTCAGAGAGTTAGTACAGGGATCAATTGCCTCACACACTGCTAACCCCAGTCCAATCCCTGGCACTGCTTATGTTTCCCTGAGCACCATCAAGAGTGATCCCCAAGCATGGAGCCAGGTGTAAACCCTAAGCACAGCTGGGAGTGACCTTCCAATAATATAAAAGGAACTGCACAATTTTAAATCTAGGGCGAAAGCCAGATCCTTTTTAGTAAAATATTTACCTTGAAAGAATAATCTATATGATTAACCAAGTATAATAGATTTGCTGAACTACCTTAGAATAACCCCTAAAATGGCTTTAAAGCAAAAAAAAAAATCAGCTTTATTTCTCACAGAGATTGTCAGATAGCCCCACCTTAAGAAGGACATCTCCTGGGGCTGGAGAGATAATAGTGTGGACAAAGGGAGGTAGGGCGTTTTCCTTGCACACTGCTGTAGCAGGTTTGATTCCTCAGCACCACTCATCGTAAACAGGACTAAGTTCTGAGCACAATCAGGCGTGGTCTTGCATGTGGCCGACCCATGTTTGGTCCCCAGCACCCTAAATGGTCCCACCGAGTAAAATTCCTGAGTGCAGTGTCATGTAAATAAATAAACACATGAATAAATAAAAGGTATGTCTATGACAGAGTGTGCTTGCAAAGGAACTGGGGCTGGAAAAACCTCCTGTGTTTTTAGGTGGCAGTATTTTTTTAATGCCAACAATTTTGTGGCACATGTAAGCCGTTCAGTCACTTTCCATTGACTCAGGAGACTGTAAAAGTAAGATAGGTTGAGGAGATAGTATAGAGGCTAAGGTGTTGCAGTCAACACAACTCTGGCTTGTCACTGGCAGGACGTAAGTTCTCCAAAGCACGACTTGGTATAGCCTAGAAGCAAGAAGAAAAGGATCTGATAGAAATGTCAACATTAAGGGACTCAGTAAGTCTTTTCTCAAAATGCTGAGCTGATCTTAGAAGTTTTGGTAAAGTAAGAACTTAATTAGAAAGAAAATCCGCTCTCTCCCCAAAAGAATGCATTGTTTCTAAGGCAAATATGTTTCTTTTCTTTATCACTTTTATTTGCTTAAGGCTCATTTAATTTGTTAGTCCTTCCCAATAGGCAGTTTTATTTTTTCCTGTGTACTTGAAATGTTTTCCCCCACCTGTTTTTCATTCCCTTTTCTTCTTTTTTGTATTTGCATTTGCTACGATTATTATAAAAAGATGAATAATGAATCAGGCAGTCAAGCTCATTTCAACTGTAAAGGAAGTTACCCAGCTAATTTGTTTTGCTTTATGTATGTACTTGAAACACTTCACATATTTAGTTGTACACATTTATATGTTCATATACTTATTTGTGACCCATATTTTGAATGTCCACAGAGATTTATCTAGTTATCAACAAAAAAGGGAAAAAACGTTGAGCTCTAGGTTCAATTTTTCTCCTTATAGTTAATAAATCTTAACAAAGACAGTGGTTCTCCGATTTAACGCATTCTTTTTAAAAGAAAGCTATCGCTTCTGCCTGTGAGTCCTGAACAATCTGTGCATTTCCTGGTTGCTGAGTCAGGAAATACTTAACTTTTGAAGCAGTAACATTTTTTTCTTGGGCAGTTTTATAATTGGCTGCAGAGTGATAGCACAGACTTTCACAAATTCAGGGAAACTGGCTGGCTTATTTAGAAAGAGAATGGAAGCGTGGCAGGGGCTAATATTGAGAACAATTTCAGCTTGACGTGTTTAGTGCTCAAGAGAATGACTCCAGTTTTCAGCTGACTTCTTGGCCAAAGGTATCTTTCCTTCATGCTGCTTATTGTCTAGTTTCTTCTGCCTTTATTTAGTATGAGTGGTTGTAGGATTTGTTTTCTTTTGAAGAGAGGCAAAGTGTAAATTGTTGTCAGTACCACTGGACTTTTGGGGGTTTGCTTAATGAGATTTGCTTAAAGCAAACATGATCTTTGCTTAATGAGAGATTAAATAGTATCACAAATAGAAAATCTAGTGGCCATCTTCTCCCTTCCTTAAACTTACCAGTGATGAGTAGCTTAATACTTGAGTTTTGATACTTGAATCTACATTCTTTCGGTGAGATCACTGAAGGTATAGCTCCGAGATACTAGCTAAAGGTGGAAGGGCTTTGTTTTTCCTTTTCTGAACATCATGAGGCATTGGGGGGAGGCGGGGGACACATCCACTAAAAAGCCATTCATTGCATTCTTCTTTGAACTGATGATTGCTTATTAACACAAGTGAAGAATGCCTTACCCTAATTTTGAAGCAGTAACATTTTTTTCTTGGGCAGTTTTATAATTGGCTGTATACTAATATATTTAATATTATAAGTGATGATATTTTTACTTAATACTTTATATAATTTAATCAATTAGATGATTCTGTCTCCTTCTGATATACCTTGTCTCGCTCCAGTCTTGGAAAGGATGAAAAGAAAAAACCAACAGAAATGTGGATTAGATGAGCTCTTGTAGGCCATCTTTTGAGCCCCTCTCCCCTCCCCCCCCATTTACTGCGGAAACTGGAGGAAGCTGAGTAGCAGGAATTCCTGGGGAGCCAGGGCTGGAATTGGAATGTGTCCATCCCTGCTTTGGAAGACTCTTTCGTATCATTGTTGTTTTGTCTTATAGAATATTTGTCAACGCAAAGTGAGACCAGAACCCTGCTCCAGTGGGCACGAACCCCTTCTCAGACCCTGTGGGTTGGATGGGTCAGAGGCAGATGTTGGGCACCAGCGTTTCTTTCTGTGACCCTTGGAATTGTGGACTCGTGGACACATATTAAGGATTTTAAATGATCACTCTGGACAAGAACTGAGTGCTGAAAGAAGTAAAGTGATATATATGACAACCTTTCAGTAACAGTTTTGCAAACCACAGTGCCTGAAAGGAGAGAGAGAAAGAAAGAGAGAGAGAGAAAGAGAGAGAGACAGAGACAGAGAGACAGAGATGAGACAGAGAGAGACAGAGACAGAGAGAGATAGAGAGACAGAGTGAGACAGAGAGGTACAGAGACAGAGACACAGAGATACAGAGAGAGAGAGACAGAGAGAGAGAGAGAGAGCCTGCCATAGAGGTAGGCTGGGGGGACAGGAGGGAAATTGGGACATTGGTGGTGGGAAATGTACACTGGTGAAGGGGCAGATGTTGGGACATTGTATGACTAAAATCCAGTTATGAACAGCTTTGTAATGGTGTATCTCATGGTGATTAAACAAAATCCAAATTACCACCCCCTTTACCCCCTCCCCTCCCCTCAAAAGCAATAACCACTGTCCTAGAGATAGCTTGTGGTCCCATGCACTTCCCCTTGAGGAAAGCACTGAGCAGAATGAAAAGTAATTTTTTGTTTTAGAGGGGTCAGTTAATTCCAGTTTGGGGAGAAGAAGGATGGTTCAGTTCTGTGAATTATCAACAGGAACTTGCAAAAACTTATTTCACTTCTGAAATAAGGACTTTTCAGGACTTTTCCCTGTGTTGCTGGTTAGTTGTCTGCTGCCAGTAATCAATTTGTTTCTCTGGAACACAGAATACTTTCTCAGGGCTTAGAGGGATGAACTGCAGTAAAACCCAGAGTCACCCCAACTCATGCTTTCACTTAAGAGCATATATTTTAATGTAGAAGAGAAAGAGATGCCGGAAGATGCAGAATATTCAATGAGAAGTCCTGTTCATTCAGAAACACACAAACATGTATATAAATATATTTTAGTTAACACAATGCTATAAGAGAATACTGTTTTCTCCAACTGTGTCCCAGTTATGTGCAGAAATTTTATTTCTGTGTGCTTCCTGCATTTGGTCCCTTAAATTAATGCTTTATGGAAGGTTTTTATAGTTCTCTAATAACTCACTTCTCCACTGTGGATTTTAGTCTTTTTTTCTTTGCATGCCCTTTTCTTTTTTTCTTTTTGGGTCACACCAGGCGATGCACAGGGATTACTCCTGGCTCTGCACTAAGAAATTACTCCTGGTGGTGATTGGGGGACCATATGGGATCCTGGGAATCAAACCCAGGTCGGCTACGTGCTAGGCAAATGCCCTACCCACTGTGCTATCGCTCCAGCCCCTGCATGCCCTTTCATTGTGGGCCCTGAGCCTATAGGCCATGTAATGTTAACTTTTTGTTTTGGGATTTTGGGTCACACCCAGCAGTTCTCAGGCCCTGCTCTGGACTCTGTGCCAGGGATCACCTGTGGTGGGGCTTAGGACCAAATATGGTGCCGCATGCAAGGCAAGCATCCTATCCCCTGTACTATTGCTTCTCCCCCTGTAATGTTAACTTCCATATGTGTCTTTCACATAAAGAGATGCAAACCTAGAGCCAACTATTATAGGACCAGTTTCACAGCATCTCTGCAGTACCCCTCAGCAGTAATTTGAGGTCTTTGTGACTGAGGGGAAAAGTAATAGAGGAAACCAGAATTTGTATTTTAGGATTTAATGAATGCCTCAGATCATTGGGAAATGAAATTTCTGACATGATTTAGTGAGGATGATACATACTACTTAGGAATCTACCCTTCAGCTTTGGTCAATGGGAAATGCTTTGGAAAACCAAAGAAAATCATTCGGGAATCCATTCTTTACCTGAAGCCTGTCAGTGCAATGGTAGAGAAAAAGTGGAATGTATCATATAGGAAAGTTGACTTTATTTGTAGTCTTAGTGATAGTATCACAGTCACGGTCCTCCTGTTGTTCATCAATTTGCTCGAGCGGGCCCAGTAATGTCTCCATAGTGAGATTTGTTGTTACTGTGTTTGGCATATTGAATATGTTACGGGTACCTTGCCAGGCTTTGCCGTGCAGGTGAGACACTCTCAGTAGCTTGCTGGGCTCTCCGAGAGGAGTGGAGGAATTGAACCCAGCTCGTGCGCAAGGTAAACGCCCTACCACTGTGCTATCGCTCCAGCCCAGTGGTAGTATATAACTCATAATTGTGTAAATATTTGTAACAAGATGTAAAATTTGCAGGTTCAAAATAAATCCTATAGGTATTTTTTCTTATTTAGAGACTTTGGAAATTTAGGAAAATTGAATTGCAGAATTTGATGAAAAATATACTTAATCTGTTTAATGAGGAAGGTCCTACTATTCTCAGGGTTGCTCAATCCACTGCAATAGTTTCCTTCTTTCTTCCTTTTCTTTTTTCTAAATTTAATGTCTAGTTCATTTCTCAGCATTGGTCCTGGTAAGGTACTAAGACAAGAAGAAAATGACAAGACTAAAGTTACTAGTCATGAATTTATACAAAACATCTGACTTCTTCCCTGAGATAGGCCTAATGTTCTGGATGAGTCATTGAAATGATAGCATTTGGACATTTTTATTTATGGAAAGTAATTTTACTAGCAACAAATTAAAGTTTCATGGTATTTAAACTGCAAGTGCTCTGATACTTTATTCCAAATAACTATGTAAATTAGAAGAAACTCTAGATTTAGAATTGGTACTAGAAGGGTTAAGGATTTCCCAAGAAGGCCTGCATATATGATTTCACCCCTCCCCCAAGATAAAAGTCACCAAAGGGAAAAATTTTGTTTTGTTTTACAGTACACATACAAAGAATCTATTGTTTTGCAGGAATTATGCTAGGCAATAAGGGGAAAGAAAGAAATCTCACCCTCCTAGTGAGTTTCCTTTCTAGCAAATCAATTGCATGGCATTTCAAAGGTTCTAAGTGCATTAGGAGAAATATAGGTAGGAAAGAGTTTAGGAGTGGATCTGATTCTGTGTGTGTGTGTGTGTGTGTGTGTGTGTATGTGTATGTGTGTGGGTGTGGGTGTGGGTGTATAAGGGGAGGAGACAGAGGGAGGGAAGGAGAAGGGGTGCTGTCAAAGAAAATGACATCAGAGCTTAGATGTGTAAGAGGTGTGAGGGGGTGAACTTTGTTCTTGCTTGGGTGAGGATCCTAGAGTTTGGAGACCTGAAGAGGAAGCCTGACACTTAATGTTAAAGGGGAGCTGGGAAGCCTGGAGCAGAGTGAGTGTGAGTTCAGTAAGAACAAGGTCAAATGGAGAGACAGTAAGAAGAAAATCCAGTTTGGATTATCTCATGGCCATAGGGAAGATGTATAGCCACACAGTGCTTTTTTAAATATATGCAGTGTTCTCTATTCATCTTTTTGGCATTTTAGAGATCTTATCTTGAGCCAGAGAGATAGTACAGTGTGAAAGGTGCTTGCCTTGTGCAAGGCCAGCCCGCGTTCCATCCCCAGCACCATATATGGTTCCTGAGCATCACCAGAAGTTATTCCTGAGCATAGAACTAGGAGAAAGCACAGAGACTGTCGGGTGAAGTTCAAAGACCCCAAAATAAAACAAAACAAAACAAAACAAATTAAAAAAAACCCTCATAAGTCTGTGGGAGTAGCTTTTTAAACTATCATTTAAAAATTTGATGAGTTACAGTCCACCCGAGTTCGATTCCTCCGCCCCTCTCGGGGAGCCCGGCAATCTGCCGAGAGTATCTCGCCCACATGGCAAAGCCTGGCAAGCTACCCATGACATATTCAATATGCCAACACAATAACAAGTCTCACAATGGAGACGTTACTAGACCTACTCGAACAAATCGATGAACAATGGGAGGACAGTGCTACAGTGCTATAGGACTTAACTTTTTAAATGATAGTTTTCTTATTTTTATGAGTGTAGACTGAAGGGGCAAGGAAACCAGTTAAAATTTTATTGCAGTAAACCACTTGAGAAAATGTCAGTATTCCAAGAGAAGAATACGCTAGATTTTATTGGACCATTCACTCTCACTCCTGCTTTATTCAGATATAACTGCCACTGAAGGATTTTTAATTCAAGATGCATATAGATGCTGGTTCTTTCATAAAATGAACACTACAATAAGTTCAGTTAATTTGCTTTTCTTGTGATAAAAGCTGTAAGACTTTTTCAGCAACCTTTGTGTGTGTGTGTGTGTGTGTGTGTGTGTGTGTGTGTGTGGCATGGAAGAGCCTGGCAAGGTACCCGTGGCATATTCGATATGCCAAAAATAGTAACAATTCCCCTGACCTCCAACAAAGCCTCCAACATGGCAATGTTGGGAAGATGAGTAAGGAGAGGCTGCTAAAATCTCAGGGCTGGGATGAATGGAGATGTTACTGGTGCCCGTTCGAGTAAATCGATGAACAAGGGGATGACAGTGATACAGTGATGTATAGGTGAACTAGTGGCCCTCTGTAAATTACATCTTTCATACTTTTAACTGGATATTTGTATCTTCAAGGCATCGTGGCCCTCACCAAGGCACACTTTTGTTGTGGTACTCCCACACACTTATAGCCTACAGGTTTCATTCTTGTGACTCCAGGGACCCCCAAATGTCAGTGATGCTGATCTGGTGAAGTGGTGCCCGGAATTGAACTCAGCCTGTCTGCAAGGCAGGGGCTTCATCATTGAGCCACATCATTGATTCCCAGTAGTGTAATTTATATTTAATCTTTCTGGGTAAGGGTGTAATTTGTGTTTAATCTTTCTCTTAAGTGGTGCTCAAGAGGTCTGGGGACCCCTTCTGGGGATTCTCAGCCAACCTGGTTTGATGTAAGGGCCTGAGGCTGCAGAGCTTTTAGCCTTGCAGGCCACACCCAGTCCTACTCAGGGGACCCTGTGGTGTCGGGGCTTTAACTGGGATCTACCATCTCCAAGGGATTCTTCTTATCCCCTGTACTACCTGTCTGGTCTAATGTTTCATCTTAAGTCAGACCTGATTTCTAGACCTGATTTCTATATTTTATTGAGAATGAGTTTGTGCGGTAACAACAGGTCTGGGTATGGTAAAGATCTCCAAAGATTCAAATGAAATGAAGGTGTTCCTTTTTTCTTCCAGGTCCCGGATGTCATCAGCAGCATAAGGCAGTTATCTAAAGCTGTCATGAAAGAGGATTCCAGACCCAGCAAAGACAACGAGGATGCCTTTTACAACTCTCAGAAGTTCGAGGTCTTGTACTGTGGAAAGGTGACCGTGACCTATAAGAAGGCCCCCTCCAGCCTCATCGACGACTGCATTGAGAAGTTCAGCCTGCATGAACAGCAGCGCCTGAAGATCCAGAGTGGGGAGCCGGGGGTCTTGGAGGCAGAGGTGCCCTGTCCCTCTGCCGATGTTCTGCTAGAGGAAGACGACGTAGAGCCCAGCACCCTCCCGGCCTTTCCCGCCGTTGCCAGCCAGCGAGGGGGCTTCCCAGAAAGGATTTTGGAGGATTCCGGTTTTGATGAACAGCAGGAGTTCCGGTCTCGATGCAGCAGTGTCACTGGAGTCCTGCAAAGGAAAGTTCATGAGAGCAACCAAAAGCCACAGCCTCGAAGGAGACACGCCAGCGCCCCTAGTCACGTCCAGCCATCGGATTCGGAGAAGAACAGAACAATGCTGTTTCAGGTGCCCTGACCGGGGAGATGGGAAGTTTCATCATCTTAGCTCTACCCGGCAAGCCAGGGGCTGGACCTTCCTTGTCTCCACCCCACAGGGTGATAGTCCAGGAGGGAAGGATGAAAAGCAGAGAAGGATTTAGAGGCATAAGTGGAATGTGGATTCTAAGAATGAGGGAGCAGGCAAGGGAAGGTAGCAAGGAGGAAGTGGTTAATTGGGCATCTTGAAAAGAATGTTACTCTCGGTATTAGCATCATCTGCCTTCAGCTCAGTCTTAAATAAAATGCTGTTTAAGTACCTGCTGCAAATAGAGGATTTAAAGATGTGAAAACCAGAGAATGTAACTAGGTAGACCAGAAAGAGAAAGAGGGAATTTTTTAGAGAGAAAAAGTTACCTTTTCAGAGAATACAGTGTCCTCCTGCCACCCGGAGGACAAGAAAGATGGTTGGGGACCAGAAAGACAGTACTGAGGGGAGTTTGCCTTGCATGGGGCTGACCCAGGTTCAATCCTGGGCGTGCCATATGGGATTCCCAAGCAATGCCTGGAGTAACTTCTAAGTGCAGAGCCAGATTTAACCCTTGAGTGCCACGGGAGGGGGAGGGAGAAAGGAGAGAGAGAGAGAGAAAGAAAGAGAGAGAGAGAAAGAGAGAGAGAGAAAGAGAGAGAGAGAGAAAGAGAGAGAGAGGTTGGTTGATCATGTAGTGGATTTCTCATTCATGTAATTGGATATAAGCTGTAAAATAGAGGGAAAGGATAATTCTTTATACTAAACAGTAATTTCTGAAGTTATACAGGGTATCGAAAATGTGAAGTTCCACTTAAAAAAGAATTTCATATGGGATAATGCCCTTGTAGAGGTTCTTTAATGTTCTGCTTGTAATGTTTGAGCTTTCTTGAAAAATTTTCTGTCCTTTTATCCTGTGTGTTAAAGAATCCCTGAGAAGGAAATACCACAGCATGCTGTGGTAAACAGTCTCAGTCTCAGTGTCTGATACTTGCTTTATCGGACATTTGTGTGTGTGTGTGTGTGTGTGTATGTGTGTGTGTGTACATGAGCACACGTGTTTTGTTTTTGATAATTTCAGACATGTAATTTGTTATTAGCTCCCTGCCTCTTTTTATTTTTTTTTGGTGGTATGTTAAGCAGACTTCTCTCGGCCTTGGGCTGTTAGATTTGTTTATTCTTACCAGCTATAGTCCTTGCTATTAACTTTTCTCATTTATTTAAAAAATTTAGTGGTAGGGCGTTTGCCTTGCACGCGGCCGAAATGGCCAACCCAAGTTTGATTCCTCCGCCCCTCTTGGGGAGCCTGGCATGCTACTGATAGTATCTCACCTGCACGGCAAAGCCTGGCAAGCTCCCCGTGATATATTCGATTTGCCAAACACAGTAACAACAAGTCTCACAATGGAGATGTTACTGGGCCCGCTCAAGCAAATCAGTCAACAGCGGGAGGACAGTGAAAGACAGGACTCACCCAGTTCTAAATTTTAATTTTTATTATTGACCATTTTGGAAAATGTATGCTTATAAATTATAAATAGTATTTTTGGAAACCACAAGGCAATGTTTTATAGATTTCAAAAGATAAATATTTCTTACCTGAAATAAAAGGCTACTATATTTCATCAGTTTATACTAAAACAATCCTCCTGGTCTTTTAGACAAAGAAACAAATGTTTTGGGACAACTGGTATTGACTGAAGGGGTTCAAATATTAACTGAATTGGCTGGAGAGATGGTACTGGGGTAATCATTCTTGCTTTGCTTCAAACCCACTCTCGTTCTATCCCTGGCATCACACGTGATACAAGCAATAAACCCTAGCACTGCTGGGTATGACCTTTCCTTCCCTCTGAAAAAAAAATATTGGTTAGATTGATGTTGATGCATATGTTAGGTATATAGCACTGCATCTATTTTATTGGCTGAATATTTCACTGTAAAGTAAGTCATTAGAGCCTTTTGAATTGAAATAAAATGGAATGCTTTTCTTTTTCAAGGTTGGGCGATTTGAGATTAACCTTATCAGTCCAGACACAAAATCAGTTGTGCTTGAAAAGAATTTCAAAGAAATTTCTTCTTGTTCTCAGGTATGTATTGAAAGGACATCTTAGCATTTGAAGAAACCAATCATTATCTAGTTTCTAAATTAACTATAAAATAATTGGGTTTAAACCCAAATTATAGTATCACATTTTTTAAAGTGAATTTGTCATTAAAGAAGCATGTTCTTATGTTTTTGTTTATGGCAGTAACAGAACTGTGCCTTGGTCTCTCAGTGTCGTCACTGGTTCTCCTTCTTGCCACCATAGGTCCTTTTTTTCCTCTCCTCTTCACGTCACATTATCAAATTGTGTTCACTGATGGGATTTTTGTGGTGGTGGGTTTTTGGGGAAAAAAAATACCTTTGTAGTTAGTGTTTCTCAGACTCTTGGATAGTGGGACTTGTGGATACCTCTGAGTCATTTTGACATTTTGGGTGATGTAGTAGATAGCAAAAGGAGAACCAATTCTTTCTACTTTCATATAAATGCTAAATTTTGAAAAGAAGGGGCTGCTATATTTTTGTCCTTCATTTTAAAAATCACACAGTATTTTCAAAGTTTTGAATTATCTACCTGGTTGTATCCCAGGTTAGAATACGTACAAACTACTGTGAAAGTACCACAGAAATAATTTAGAATATTTATCCCTAAATCAGAGCTACGTATATTTTAAGAACAGGAAAATAACCCAAAGATGTTGGGTAGAGGAGTATGTAAGTAGCTATATGGGGAAGTTAAAAATATAAGAATGTCTTTGAAGAGGGCCCTGAAATAGAGAACTTGTTCTTAGCAAAATGTTGAGTGACCTGGATATTACCAAGATTTCTTTTAATTGTATTTATTTATTTAGGTAAGGGGTTTGAGGCAAAGCCTAGCTATGCTGAGGTCTTACTCCGGGCTCTGTGCTTAGGGGTCACTCCTGGTAGTGATCAGAGGACCATGTATGGTGCCAGGGATCCAACTGGGTCAGCATATGCCCGCCAAGTGCCTTTACTCTGGTACTATCTCTCAGGACTCTCCTTCCTATATTTTAGTATTGAAAAACCAAGACTGTTTAGAATTCAAAAAAGAAATAGAGTTGTCATCAGCGTAGGCATGGCATGCAGACATTCTTCTCTTTAAAAATGAATTTATATGCATATTGTTTGTTTCCAGTGACTATGTGTGGTGCCACGGATTGAAACTGGGCTGGTCATGTGCAAGGCAAGCACCCCACCCACTGTACTATTGCTCCAGCTCCCCGGTAAAGGATTTGAATGTAGAGGTTTTGGAGAAAGATTATTTATATTAACTAAAAACCTGTTTATTAAAAATTCCTGTAACCTGTTTACTGGGGATTCCTGCAAGATAAGTCCCATGAGGCCATGTATCTAATTCTGTGGTGTCTTATTCTGTGAGGCATTTGAGTAAGGTCTTAAGACAGAGCTTAATTCTTCAGATATTCAATAAATGTTGGATGAACATTTCTGCATGTTGGGTGTTGCTCCACCCAATGGGTAGAGAATAGTATAAGCTGAAACACTTCCTACCTTTGCAACCCAAGAGTTGCCTGTCCTAAGGTTGGAAGATAGTATGGGGGTTAAGACACATGCCTGACAAGGTAGCTGACCCAGATTTGTTCCTCAGCATTACATGAGCCCTCCCTCCCTCCCAGCTCCACCAGGTGTGACACTAAGAGTGGCCCAGGTAATTCTGTCACTGGGGGAGGGCTGCATCCTTGGACCCTTGCATTGAACCACTGGTCCAGGTGGTTGAGAACTGGCAGAAGTAGCCCCCCACCCCCTGAGCACTGCTTGGGAAAACCAGAAAGAAAAGAAGCTACCCTAAAAAGCTACATCGGTCATCCCCATACTTCTGATTTTTTTTTTCTTTTGGTCTGTCTGGAAGAGAACTAGTAGTGCTCATGGAATATCTAAATGAAAATGGAGGAAAGAAAGAAAACCAAAACAGATGTTTAATAGTGGTAACTTAAATGTGATTTTCACTTTTGCTCCTTTATGTTTCTTTAAGCAAGGCTTGTGTTCTAACATTCTGATTAAAAAGAAAAAAAAAAGAAAAAGAAAATGAATGTGAGAAAATTTGTAAAAGGCCTTTGACTAGAATAATTGTCAGGTTAAACTATGCTCCTTATAAAGTAGCCCTGGTCTTACAATTTTTCTCAAGAACTGAACTGTTATAATATAGCTGCATATAGGGGCATAGTTCTTTCTTTCTTTCTTTCTTTCTTTCTTTCTTTCTTTCTTTCTTTCATACATAACAACCATTACTTGCTTTGAAATTCGTACAGCTGTGTCCTTAAAGGTTTTCGGAATAAGGGAGTTTTTGAAATAATAAGTGGAATAAGGGAGTTATTGTCAAAGCATAAAGACTCACCAAACTAATGAGTCTTATGAACGTCCTATTTAATTACTCTGGTGTAAGATATTCTATAGGGTCCAGAGTGTTTATACAGAAGGTAAAGTGTTTGCTTTGCATATAGCCAACCCCATTAAAAATCTCAGCCTTACTATGACCCCCTGAGCACTGCTAGGGGTCATTCCTGAGCACAGAGCCAGAAATAGCCCTTGACTACCATCAAGTGTGGTGCAAACACCAACTCCCCTACCCCAAATGATATTCTCTAATCCGTAATAAATTTTATTAGATGAAAAACTGACATTCATATCACGAATTATAACCTCACTCCTTTTTATTGGACTCTTTTATAAGAGTTAATTTTATTTTTCCTACCCATGGGATAAATTGTGCTTATTATTACAAAAGTAATGGTTGCCATTTATCAAACATACCGGGTACTAGAATCAATATTTCTTGGTTCTAAATCTCAAACACTTCTGACAATATGCACCACTATTTCTGTTTTATAATGAGAAATGGTGCCGTGGAGCTAATTATTAGCACCCCACAACAATATCTCTTATCTGGTAGGTTGGTTTGAGCAAGATTGAAGCATAAATCTACTTGATACCAGAGACTGCATTCTTTTCCTTGGAATTTGGGTAATTGCAGGACAGTTTATTTATTTGTTTGTTTACTTGCGTTTTTAAAAGACTATGCTTACTATTAAAGTAACATGGTCCTGTATCCTTGAGATATTTGGACTTGGGATACTTATATTTTGGGTGACCAGAATTCACAGAAGATTTGGAATATTTTAGTGAGTATAGCTCTAGATATTTAGTTGGATTTCTAGGTATTTAGCAATGATTTGTGAACTTGGATTATTTCTCTAATCAGGGATCTTCTAATAGTTTGGCCCACTGAGTGTCTATCAGCAAACAAACATCATAATTTTTTCAAAGTCTTCCTTTGGGAGAAATTGCACGACCATTGAAATAGAAAACTGCTGTCATTTTTATCTTCTTATCCTCATATAGACAAGAACAGGGTTTCTGATGAATCATCAAACTGCCTAGTCTAAAGGGACTAATAAATTGAAAACTTCATTACTTGGAAATAACGAGTAGCAGATTTATTACAAACAGCAGTGGGATTGACCCTTCTGTTTTTCTCTGCTGTGACCCCAAGTCACCTTTGACAAAGGTGTTTGTCAAAGAAACAATTACTGTCCAAATCAGCCTCTTTTATGTATCAGAAGAGCCCAGTAAGTTTGGTTGGATGTGGAATCCCTTCTTGCAGGGCTGTGAAGCACTTGGAACTGTGAAAAAACAGAAAGATATTTCCATGTGGATGGTTCAGAGGACGTGTTTCCTTGACACTACACTTCTCTTCCCCTCTAGGGCATCAAGCACGTAGACCACTTCGGCTTTATCTGTCGGGAGTCACCAGAGCCTGGCCTGAGTCAGTATATTTGCTACGTGTTCCAGTGTGCCAACGAAGCTCTGGTGAGTGGTGTGCGAGCCTGTCTCAGGGCCTGCTGACACAGGGGAGAAAGAGGACATCTGGAAACGGGTTTTTTGGCCCTTCAAATCTTCAAATCACTGTAGAAAAACAAAAACAGAATGTCTTGGGGGATTTTTAAGCCAAGAGACTTTCTTGAATTGAACATTTAAATTGTGTGTGCCATCAGGAATATTTTTAAGAGGTCAGGGAGAAGACTAATAATAGAACTGCTAGTTTTTCCATTGCGCATGTCAGAAGATTAGGAAGACCTTTCCTCCCTTCGTTGCTATTACATCTCACAACAGAGAATGCTTGCAACGTTTTATGTGTGTGTGTGTGTGTGTGTGTGTGATTTTTCCTTGATACTATTTTTTATCTTTTTTATGTCTTGTCATTTTTATGATAATTTGTTTTTTCTTCAGATGTATTTTTTTATTGTGCTAACGTTGGTTAGGGCTAGAGCAATAGCACAGCGGTAGGGCGTTTGCCTTGCATGCAACTAACATGGCTGACCTGAGTTCGATTCCTCCGCCCCTCTCGGAGAGCCTGGCAAGCTACCGAGAGTATCTCGCCCGCACGGCAGAGCCTGGCAAGCTACCCGTGATGTACTCGATATGCCAAACACAGTAACAACAAGTCTCATGATGGAGATGTCACTGGGCCCGCTCGAGCAAATCGATGAACAACGGGAGGACCGTGACCGTGATCAACATTGGTTTACCAGAGGATACATTTAAAAAAATATATATTTGATGTTAGGGCCATGGTGTTGTTCACCTCCAAGGTGACACTTTCCCTCCACCACAGTCCATAATACTCTCTTAACTCACTGTCCCCCTGCCCCTTGGTAACTTCGGTTCTGTGGTCAGAGAGTATCTAGTCGCTTGTTTTCACTGAACATCATCATCTCTTCTGGCTGTGCTTCTTTCTGCACCACATGAGTGAGTATATATTTGTCCAGTAGGTACATGAGTGTATTATTTGGGTGAGAAGGATATTTATCCTTTTTCTTCTGTCTTATTTTACCTAGCATGATGCCTTCTGGCTCCAGCTGGGATGTAGCAAATGAGGCAAGCTTTCATCTCAATTCACAGTGGAGTTATTTGTTATTTAGAATTTTTCTTTTTAGTAAACTTGCATTGGTTTACCTTTGGCTTATATGAATTTCAGGAGTACAGTCTCACATCTCAGAATGTGTGTATATCTCTCTACTGTACTCACTACCAAAATTTGAATCACCAGAATTCTTGTGCCACTTGTCAAATTGAAACTGTCTACTCTTTATTTTGGAATTTGCAAGTCAATTATTCTCTCTAACACTTCTCCCCACCCCTTTTGTTGGAGGGGCAAGGGTATGCAGAGTTTGAGAAGAAATACATATGGCAAACTTAGAAATAAAATCTAAGTGACTAAACAGGTTCATGTATTTTTCCTGGATTTCTAAACTAGCTCCACTATCGCTCCTAATCATTTTATTTTATTTGCTTTTGGTTTTTTGGCCACACCTGCCTATGCCAGGGATCACTCCTGGCAGATTCAGGGGACCATCTAGGGTGCCAGTAATCAAATCCAGGTGGGCTGCTGCAAGGCAAACACTTTATTCACTGTACTTTCTCTCCAGCTCCTGTTTACATATATTTTTTCACTGGACTGGGAGTCCCATAAATCTTTCATCGTTTTGTAAGTTTTCAGTAGATGCTGACTGAAATAGCATTAGTTTATGACATGGTTTATATTTACTTCAAACATGGCATGTCATAATTCGAGATTTTTGTGCTCTCCATCATGATCCCTCCCCAAAATCTGGTTTCCATTCCTAACCATCAACTTGATGCCTTTGCCCTTTGCATCCCCCTTCTCTGACTACGTCCCTGAGTATTTCCAGGAGAACTGGTATAGTTGAAGTGTATCTTGAGTGTGTGATTGTGGTTATTCTTAATTTCAGGTAATCATTTTCTTTCTTTCTTTTTTAAAAATACGGAATGCTTCATGAATTTGCATGTCATCCTTGTGCAGGGGCCAGGCTAATCTTCTCTGTATCATTTCGATTTTAGTATATGCCCTGCCAAAGCGTGCATCATGCAGTCATTTTCTAGGTGCAGTCTAATTATTGGATAACTTGCCCTGAATGGAAAAACCTTATTTCCCACATCTCTTAGAGGTTTTGTTTGGAGGTTTTAGTATTTTGATGTCACCCTCATGGATATAGAATGAGTTTTGGGAATGGGGAGTTAGTATAAAAAGTCTGGGAACATGCTGCATTTTTTTCCCTACCTTCAGAAGATCTGTGACTAAGGCAACAGACCAGACTGGCTGAGAATGTCCCGTAACATTGATGCTGTATCAGAATCTCAGTTGTGGTATCATTATGCTAAAGAACAGGCTCCTGCTAGAATCTCTGAAACGCTATTTACTCTCATTTTATTAGTAAGCTCTTCATGGAGTGGTGAGACATCAGAACTGTAGGCTAGAAGAAAAATTAATGTAAATTTCCTGCCTAACAGTGGACGGACCTGTGACTTTGATAAAACAAAACAGTCAAATATTATAGAGCTAAGCAGTGTTAGGATTAATGTGGCTTGACAGCTGTGTAGGGCAAAGCATTGCAAAGCCACCAGTGCTGACTTCTCCAAGTACAAAGAATACACAACAAGCATTTTATTTTGCTTCTTTGTGGCAAATGCTGTGAATTAACAAATAGGATAGTGTTGTGGTGAGCACTGGAGGGTTCAGATGCTCAGTACTTCTTCCTTCTTTTGTAAAAGAGTAGTAGACAGAAGATGGCATAATCTCGTCAAACAAACCACGAGGTCTGTAAAAAATATTTCCGCTTCCTTCAAAATTGATTTAAAAAGGACCAGGAAATAAAGGAAGTTACTGCCACCACATAAAGACAAAGAAAAAATAAACTCCAGGGATGTTGGCAATAGTATCCAGGGAAAGTATAACCAAAAGGAAAGATAAATACTGTATTTGGATAGGGTCAGTAGTTTATGAAATTTGCATGATTCTAGAACATGTTGATAGAGGGAGATACAAAGTTTAGAAAGTTATCTATGTCTTCTGTTTTTACTCTAAAATAGATCTCGAACAATTAAGTATCGAGTAAACTGGGGAGGATAAATGGGAGCGAAGAGATAGATTCACTTGTGGGATCTGCATTTTCTTTTTTTTTAATTACAGGATTTATTTATTGCTTTTTTAAAAGTAATTTTGATTTTTGATTTTTTGAATATATTATAATGTGGAGTTGGAGAGATAGTACAGAAATTCAGGTGCTTACCTTGCACACAACTGACCCAGGTTTAACCCCTAGTATTAGTTATGATCCCTAAGCACTGCTAGGAGTGATTCCTGAGCACAGAACTAGGAATAAGCCCTAAGCGTAGCTGGGTAAGATCCAAAATCGAAAAAATATATTTATTATAATTAAACTAATGTGATTATAGTGGCGTTTACATTATGGTCTTGATGTACAGTTACCTGACCTCACTCCCACCAAAGTACCCAAGACTTCTTACCCATATCCCTGTATCACCTCCAGTTAATGTTCTTCTTTTCCAAGTTATTTGCTTGTTTAAACCTACATTTTAAGTGATGAAAGAGTTTCAGATGCTTCAACGATTGCTTATCAAGAACGTTTTTCATCTGAAGGAGCACTGAAGTTTCTGATATCATTTAGCTCAGAATTCCAGGAACAGGATTTAGGAACAGGATTCCAAACATGTGAAAGACCGTGTGAGAATTTATACCCAGCGTGGATAAGTGAACTTAAAGATCTGCTATGGAGAAAACTTCATCATGTGCCGATAAACTACTATAATTGGCCATTTGACAATTATTTAGAGTCAGATAGTTGGCATTCTTTATTGCATAGTTTGAAATTTTACATTTTCCCAGAGCTTTAAGACATGTGATGACTTGAAATCCTCATACATACTGTGATTTTTAGACTTATTGTAAAATGACATAAATTACTCTGGGAACTAAATGTTGATTAGCATTATTTTTACTATGGAGTTTTATCCTTCAACCATAAATTGGCTCACTGTCTTATCTCATATTTTTCTGCCAGGAATTTAATTTTACCTGATATAATGATAAGTAGACTTCCTTTTTGTTTATGATTAATTTATTTTTGACTATTTCTCTACTTTTAATCATTTATATAAACTACTAGTTTTTGTTGGTGCTTATAAACTAAAACAAATTGAACATTATATGTTAATTTATAGAATTAGTTGCTCTGTTCTATGATAAAAATTCATAGAGCAGCTAAAAAGAATAGTAGAGCTTAAAAAAATAAAACTGAAAATTTCAGAAGTTAAATAGAGGGGCTGGACCAATAGTACAGCGGGTAGGACTTGCCTTGCATGTGGCCAACCCAGGTTTGATTCCCAGCATTCCATATGGTTCCCTGAGCACTACCAGCGGTAACTCCTGAGTGCAGAACCAGGAGTAACCCCTGTGCATCGCTGGGTGTGACCCAAAAAGCAAAAAAAAAAAAAAAGTTAAATAGAACCTTTAGTAGCATTTGTGACTGAGAAATTATTAACTGCATTTTAGATAGCATTAAAATCTTTGTTTTATTTAGAAATGGAAAAGGAAGCATGTAAGTTCAGTATATATTGAAGATAATTTGCATGACAAATAACAAATATACTTGCTTAAAAGCTAAATAGATGACCAACTTTTTCAGTACTTTAAATGAATGAGAAATTGAGAAATAAAATGGAAATAGATACCTGCCTAAGTAATTGAAGTGACTTTTAAAATACTAAGACAAATGAAGTAAAAATGCAAAACCGTTATATATTCAAAAATTAGAAGTACTTAAATTTGTGATATGGTAAAGTTCAACCGAGTGACAACTGACTGCATAGTATCTGAGCTCTTTCAGTAGTTTTGGAAAAAAAATTTTCCATTTATTTCCAAGTCTTCAAGACTCACAGATGCAGAAGCATATTAAATCATGTGAGTAAAGACAAGGCTTTCTTTGCAGGGAGGGGAGTATCTCAAAACATTGATCAGGGGGCCATGGAGTATTACAATTGAATTCAGGGCCTCCATATGCCAGACTTGTGTTCTAGCCTTTTGAGCTCCCTCCCAAGCCCTGAAAACTCTGTATTTGTTTTTCGTGGGGTCACATCCAATGATGTTCAGGTATTATTCCTGGCTTTGCAATCAGGAATTACTACTGGATGTGCACGGGGCGACCATATGGGATGCCAGGGATCAAACCTGGGTCAACCACATGTAAGGCAATTGCCCTACCCACTGTACTATCATTTGGTCCCCTGAAAACTTCCTTTTATATTAGCTCATAGGGGAAGGGGAAAGAGTCTTGAAAAAAATATCATTTACAAGCATGGTAATTGGTTTTGAATATCAAAGCTGATCCAAATACTAATCTCAGCATTGCATACTTCCCCATGCAGAGTTCAGATTTTGATCCCAGCCCCTAGTGGATGTGAAAACCACACCCACATTCATTATGTCACAGTGAAGGAGATATGAGCTGAACTCATGGGCAAAGGATTAGAGTGAGTTATTAATTGATCTCAAGAAAGCAATCAGGAATCTGAAAGGCTAGATTCTGTCTGCTTGATCGAGTCTTTGGAAGAACAAGAGAGGAACTGTCAGTTTTCAAGTCGCTGGCTTAGTGTTGAGACCAATGTTAGAACTTCCCCCACTATCACAAATCAGAAGTGATATGATAGTAGATGAGAGACCATAGAGATAGGACTAGCAAATTTCACAGACTTCCTCTAATTTAAGCTCAACTAATTTTCTCCCAGAACTTTGCATAGAGCGCATTCTTTGTATTTTTTTTTAAGGTAAGGTAAAGGTAAAGGCCCTCCCGTTGATCGTCGATTTGCTCGAGCGGGCCCAGTAACGTCTCCATTGGAGACTTTGTTGTTACTGTGTCTGGCATATCGAATACTCTCGGTAGCTTGCCGGGCTCTCCGAGAGGGGCTAAGGAATCGAACTCGGGTCGGCCATGTTGGCCGCTTGTAAGGCCAACGCCCTACCCGCTGTGCTATCGCTCCTGGAGAGATAGCACAGCGGCTAGGGCGTTTGCCTTGCACGCAGCCAACCCGGGTTCGATTCCCAGCATCCCATATGGTCCCCTGAGCACCGCCAGGAGTAACTCCTGAGTGCAGAGCCAGCAGTAACCCCTGTGCATTGCTGGGTGTGACCCAAAAAGCAAAAATTTTTTTTAAACACTTAAAAATATTCAGAAAGATAAAGGAAATGGAATACTATTAAAACAAAACCCCTTTTGTTCTTTCCTCTGTATTGCTCACAAATTTAGATTTTTATCTGATAAACTACTTAATTAAACTTAGATATTTATCTGATAAACTACTTAATTAAACAGAGACCTGATGGACTATCAGTTAAACTGTGATAGCACAGCACTTTGCAGGATTCAGAAAAAGCATCTGAGTAACAAATCCGTATTCTATTACACACATGTCTGTGGTCTTATTTCACTCGCTTTTAATTATGTGTATAATAGGAGGTCTAACTTCAAGACAATATTTTCTCCAGACTGTAGTCATCAAAATTCCACTGTTATTTAATCAGCATCCATAAAGGCTCACTTGGCTTTTGGGATTTTAATTTTTATAGACCTGAGTTTTGTTTCTTCTTGCAGGTCGATGAAGTAATGTTGACTCTGAAGCAGGCATTCAGTACAGCAGCAGCCCTGCAGAGTGCCAAGACCCAGATTAAACTGTGTGAGGCCTGCCCTATGCACTCTTTGCATAAGCTCTGTGAACGGATTGAAGGTACAGTCAAATTAGCCTTGGCAAGAAAGGAATTTGCTTTGGCGTTTGGGATGTGAGAAAGTCACAGCTGTCATTGAATGGTTCTCTGTTCCTCAGCAAAGCAAGAGTCCCACCGCCATTGCTCTTGTTCAGCCAAATGTGTACTGCCAGTTTCTCCTAGGGGCTCTGCTTTCCCTACACTCTTGCTCTCTTATTTAGTTTTCTTTCCTTTTTCTTCTGAAGGCAGACTTGAAGGGACTTGTGTTTCTCACAGTTCTTAGTACTCTGCCTGCACAGTGTTACTGATCAAATATTTGTTAAATGAATGGAAGGCAAAAGCATCCCAGAATGTCAACTGTTTCTTTAAGCTATTTTTTTTTTCGGGGGGAGGCAGTTTCCTCTTACTTGATGGTGTGCTTCTATTCCCTAAAATTTAAGAACTGTAGAGAAATGTGCATGTTTTTGCAGGGACCTTTGATTTTTTGAGGGTGGTGATGGTGAGAAGTGACGGAAGGGGTACAGCCGGTGATGCTCTGTGCTCAGGGGTAACTGGTGATTGAATCTGAGCTAGCAGCATGCAAGGCGAACACTCACCAACTGTACGATCTTTCCAGCCCCTCTCTGGGACTTTTGAAAATGGTTAATAGTTGCGATAACAGAAAGTAGATGTTTTTAAAATGTGGCCAGGGAGATGGAGTTGGCCACTAAAAGAAGTCTGAAGGAAGGTACAGAGAGTAGGATGCCTCCCTTGAGGTCCATCAACCCAGGTTTTATCCCCAGCACCCCATATGGCCCCCCCAAACTTCCAGGAGTGATCCCTAAGCACAGAATCTGGAGAGAGAATGAGTAGGATGTGACTCTGTTCTTGCATACAAGTCTGAAAACTATCATGCGAGAGATAAAATCCAGTTTAACAAATGCTTGTATTTAGTTGGCACTGGGCACAGTGCTAGGCATTGGGATACAGAAATGATTGAAATATAGATTATGATCTCAAAGATCTCAAGTGTAGAGTGAAAGATAGAGACATGAGCAAATAAAGGAAATTCAGCACCACAGATTAAAATAGGAGGTGGGCTGGAGTGATCGCACAATGGGAAGAGTGCTAACCTTGCACACAGCCGACCTGGGTTCAATCCCTGGCATCCCATATGGTCCCCTGAGCACTGCCAGGAGGAATTCCTGAGTACAGAGTTGGGAGTAACCCCTGGGCATTGTTGGGTGTGACCCAACGCCCCCCCAAAAAATTCCCAAAATAAAATAAAAAATAAAGTAGATGGAGAAACTGTCAATCCCTGACATCCCATATGGTCCCCTGAGCACCTCTTGGAGTAACCACTCAGTGTGACCCAAAAAGCCAAAAAAGCCTAAAAAAAGAGTACTATTTAAATAATGATAGTTAGATCTAAATACTTATATTTTTATGGTGAGCACATTTTCAAATATCTGTAAAACATTTGCAAAAAAAAAAGAGAAAGAAAAAGAAGAAAAAACAGAACAACTCTAAACATTATTTGGTAAAGGGAATACTATAAATCTGAGGAGGAAAGATTGAATCATGCAGGAAATGGTGCAACCTCAATTTTCTCTAAAGGGCCTCAAATTTCTCTTTCCTTTTTTCCTCCCCAGAATGTGTTCTGGGTGGGTCTAAGTCCTCAGTGTAAACAAATTAAATATTAAAACCATGAAAGAAAGCAACAGTGTTCTTCAGGTCCTTGAACAAGGAAATCATTCTTGACACACAGAAAGAGGGAAGCTATCGAGAGAGGATATTGAGGCGTTCTGGGATATGGTCTATGTTGAGCCTGAACACTGAAGATGTTCCCCTTAACGATGCTGCCTCATGGCTAAGAAGGCTAAGAACCAGTCTTTGAAATTGTGCCATCCACTTGCAAAGCAACATAATGCCAGTTCTCAGAGAGAGTATCAGGAGACAAGAGTTTTTCGGAGTCAAATTACTTTAAAGCCTCAGCATTTGTGCTTCTACCTCAGAGTTATTTTCATCGAAGCACGTTAACTGTGTGAGTTCTAAACGTTGCTCGATGCTTTGGTACAAAGTGTGATACTTCAAGGACCATAGTCCAATTAAAATCAAATTGATAGCTGTAGACAGTGAGAAAGATATTTAAAGATATCTAGATGCTAGTGATTCATGTCACTCTAGTATTACAGTATTGCTGCCAATATGGCTCTATTAATAAGAAATTCTATTTTTATTATTTCAATGAGAGAACTTAAAGGTAAAGGTAAAGGCCCTCCCGTTGATCATCGATTTGCTGGAGCGGGCCCAGTAACGTCTCCATTGGAGACTTTGTTGTTACTGTGTTTGGCATATCGAATACATCACCGGGAGCTTGCCAGGCTCTGCCGTGCGGGCGAGATACTCTCAGTAGCTTGCCAGGCTCTCCGAGAGGGGCGGAGGAATCGAACTTGGGTCGGCCATGTTGGCTGCATGCAAGGCAAATGCCCTACCCTCTGTGCTATCGCTCCAGCCCGAGAGAACTTAGTCTTTTATATTAACTTAGCCTCTTATATTAAGTTCTTCCCCACGTGCTTTTCCTCTCTTTTCTACTTTCCAGTAAACTTTTCTACTTTCTTTTCTTTTCTCTTTTTTTTTTTTTTTTTGCTTCTTGGGTCACACCCAGCAATGCACAGGGGTTACTCCTGGCTCCTGCACTCAGGAATGCCTCCTGGAGGTGCTCAGGGGACCATATGGGATGTTGGGAATTGAACCCGGGTCAGCTGTGTGCAAGGCAAACTCCCTACCCACTGTGCTATTGCTCCAAGCCCCACTTTTCTACTTTCTAAGAAAACAGAAAAGAGAGAGAGAAGGATATTCAAGTATGCCAATGGGCACTTCACGGCCATTGTGAAATGAATTTCACTATTTAGAATGGAAGAAATGAACCAGCGTGTCTGTCTGTGGGCCGCGAGAATTGTAGAGGTGCTGTCAGGAGGGGAACTTAATCCCAACCTCAGAATGTGAAGCAAAAGTGATGATGAGCAGCATGGAAACAGAGCCTTTATATCCGCTCTTGTTTTCCTACACTAACATGCATGAAAGGTAGTGCCTGTTGGCAAGAACAAGTCACTCGTCAGAGATTCCAAATAGGCAGGAAAAAGGAAGTCCAATTGGATCCATGGTGGTGGAGTGACCATGTCTAATTAGAAAATAAATAAACTACAGCTGTCCTCAGTGCCACTGTTGAACTGAAGGCTGAAGAAAAGTAATGGGCTTACGGCCTTAGTTTCATATTTCAAGTGAGTGGTCTCTTTATTTTCCCTCCTTTTAATCTTTTCTCCTCTGAAGCGTGTAAACAAGACAGAAAGAGTAAATAACATAAAGCAGAAAGAATCATGTGAATCACGTCTTAGTTTATTGCTAAGGAGCCTCTGAAGGAGAGAGACTTTGTTAGCAAACAAGTAAGAAGCTGTGGAAGTGAGCGGAAATCACATCCCCAAAATGAATTCTAATGTTTCTGTGCTGTCCTGGAGGATGACACAGAGTTTGGCTTTGTCATTGCGGAAAGAAGGTTGTACTGAAATGTTTAAAAAAAATTTTTTTTCTCCTTTTTGGATTCCTGTAGATCCCGTGCAATGATTCGAAATAGCTACATTCTGGTAGCCTGTCATGTTTTGACAACTATAGAATGAATTTGAGTTCTTTTAAAGCAGTGCATATTTTTAAATGATTCCAGTGATCTCAAAGTGTTGGTCTGCCTGGGACACTTACAGAACTATAGAACTAGATATTCCCTACCTAACTGTAGTCATATCACTTTCCTAAGAGGAAATTCGTTCCTTGAATATGGACGGTCAGTTGAATCAGTTTAAATATGAGTGAAACTTTCTTTTTTTGAAAAAAACTATGAAAACAAAACTTTTCTATGAAAATAAGCTTTGCCCAAGGACTTAATAGAAACTATGTGCAATTCTATGATAGAAGTACAAATTACATGATATAAAGAGGTATAAACAATTCCTTGAGAAACAACTCTACTAAAAATGCCATAAAATACTGATGTTGCCTTTGAACTTTTATGAGCATAGAAAAAAATCTTCACGGGAGATTTACTGTCTAAGCTATAACTCTGCCTAGTGTGTAATTATTAATTTCATATTCTATGTTTCTTATTTGTTTGTTTTTAGGCCACACTCATTGGTGCTAAGGGCTTACTCCTGACTCTGTGCTCAGAGATCATACCTGGTGATACTCAGGGGACCATATGGGATACCAGGGATTGAACTGGGTAGGCTGTGTGTAAGGCAAACTCACTGCTTGCTGTATGATGTCTTCCTAGTTCTTATTCATTAGTCATTGTTTTATGGGGGCTTCCAGGATTCTTGGTAAACTGGGCTGGTGAGTCAGTATGAATGCAGAAGGTACTGTCATGCTGGAGATTTCCTGAGCCACCTGGCAGTCCTTGGGGACCTCCAGGGCCACATCTACCCGTGCCTGGAGGACCATGTGGTGCAGGGAGTCATCTGGGTTGCCCGCATGCGAGGCACTTGCCTTAATCCCTGTACTGTCACACCTCTTCATATTTTTTCTTTTATATATATATATAAAATATATGTATGGCAAAGCCTGACAAGTTACCTGTGATGTATTTGATATGCCAAACACAGTAACAAGTCTCACAATGGAGACGTTACTGGACCTGCTCGAGCAAAGCTATGAACAATGGGAGGACAGTGCTACAATGCAGTGCTATATAATATATATATGTATAATACATATAATATATAATGTCAGACTATGTAGGTTTAGAGATTTTGGGGAACCATATTTTTTTTTAATTTCTGTGTCCAGAAATAGGTTTCTTAGTTCACCTCTGAATTTCCACAGTGGCCAATTTATTAGCATGCTAAGCGTGATGTGACATTGTTCCGCTTTTGATTTAGTACCCTTTAGAAATATTTTGCTAAGAATTCTGAGTTAAAGATTACTGATAGAGAGCTGTTGATTTTGGTGAAGTGGTATTTTGCCCCTCCCATAAGAACAAACAGAATTTACTCTGTACTTTTTTTTTTCTTTTTGATGGGCTGGAGCGATAGCACAGCGGGTAGGGCGTTCGCCTTACAAGCGGCCAACATGGCCGACCCGAGTTCGATTCCTCCGCCCCTCTCAGAGAGCCCGGCAAGCTACCGAGAGTATTCGATATGCCAGACACAGTAACAACAAAAGTCTCCAATGGAGACGTTACTGGGCCCGCTCGAGCAAACGGGAGGGCCTTTACCTTTACCTTTACCTTTACCTTGATGCGTGGGGTGTGAGGTCAGTGGGTTTGGGTCACATTGTGCAGTGCTCAGGGTTTACTCCTGACTCTCTCTCAGGGATCACTCCTGGTGGGCTTGGGGGACCATCTGAGGGCTGGGGACCTAATCTGGTCTACTGAATGCAAGGCAAGTGCTGACCCACTGTACTATCACTCTGCCCCCCCTTACTGTGTTGTTTATTTTGTGTTATTTAAATTTTTTATTTCCCCTTTCCCATCCCTTCATTGTTGTCAATATTGTATGACTGGGGTTCTTGCTCACACACACACACACACACACACACACACACACACACTTGCAACACATCTAGTTGAGGTGCTTCCTGGTGATAACATTGCCCGTGGTGCTCATTGAGGTCTGTGCTTCTTTAATTGTGGTGCTGATACATGCTTGTCGGGTGGGGGGTGTCACAGTTTTTATTTGGGGCACTCAGGTCAGCATATGGTGCTCACATATGTACCCATCAGAGGCCAGTTGCACTTTCTGGCTGCGGTACGTGCACATCTTTTAATGTGGTGCTCACTGGAGCCACGCGCCCGCGCTGTGTTCCTTGCACCTATCCTATCTGGCTGCAGTATAGCCAGAAATTGCTTGTGGTGATCCCGTGGGACTGCTGGGATCTCCCTCAGCACATGTGGTGCAGAGGGTGACCTCTCAACCTTCCACTCTTAGAGCAGGCTTTGCTGGTTGGTGCTCATCTGTCCCTCTAGACCCCTCTGTTTTGCTTTATTCATTTGACTAACGTTCTGTTCTCAGTGTTTCTCATCCAGGCGCCATGTGGCTCTTTGCTGGACCACAGGTTTTTCCTAGGGAACCACACAATCTTGTAAGTGGGGCAGAGTTACTGCCTGAGATTATGGTCCTCATTAGTGGGATGGGGTGTGGAAGTGGGCAGAAGAAGGAAACATGGTCAGAAAGGGACCATGGTCAGAAAAAGGTTGAGAAACGTTCTTCTAGGTTTTCGACAGGTGGAACACATCTCTTTCTCTATTTATTTTATTTTATTTTATTTTTAATTTTAATTTTTTTTGCTTTTTGGGTCATACTCGGGGACCGTATGGGATGCTTGGGATCAAACCTGGTTTGGCCACGTGCAAGGCAAACGCCCTACATGCTGTGCTATAGCTCCAGCCCCCCCTTCTCTTTTTTAATTGAATCACCATGAGATACACAGTTACAAAGTTGTTCATGATTGGATTTTAGTCATACAATGTTCCAACATCCCTGCTTTTTTCTCTCTTGTGTGCATGCGGTATTCTTTCACTTTATTTATTTATTTTTTGCCATTATAATTTGCAATACAGGTACTGAAATACAGATACTGAAGGGTATCCAATCATCTGTTCTTGGGCACTCCAGTTATTTTCAGATTCTGGCTATTGTGAATAGTGCTGTACTGAACATAGAAGTGCAGATGGCTTTTCTGCAGTGTGTTTTTGGACCTATAGGGTATATTCCCAGAAGTCGTATTGCTGATTGGATATGGACGGAAGCTCAACTTCCAGTTTTTTGAGGAATGTCCATATTGTTTTCCAACAGGGCTTGACCAGTTGGCATGTATATTCCTTTACCTCCTTTCAGCATGCAGTTCTTGTCCAGAGTGATCATTTCCAACTGTCATTGTCATAGTGAACCCTTTTCTGTGCCTCCTCACCCCCACTAGTGGCAAGCTTCCAGCTATGGACCAGTCCTCCTGACCCTTATTTCTATTGTCCTTAGGTATCACTCATACACTATGTTTTTTTTTAATCTCACAAACACGTGTAATCATTCTATGTCTGTCCCCCTCTCTCTGACTCATTTCATCCAGCATGATACTCTCCATGTCTATCCATTTATAAACAAATTTCATGACTTTTTTCCCCCTTGGTGACTGTGTAGTATTCCATTGTGTAGATGTGCCATAGATTCTTTATCCAGTCGTCTGTTCTTGGACATTTGGGTTGTTTCCAGATTGTGGTTATTGTTAATAGTGTCACAATGAACACAGGAATGCTTTTCTGCAGTGTTTTTAGGTCCCTTGGATATATTCCCAGAAGTGGTATTGCTGGGTTGTATGGAAGTTAAATTTCTAGTTTTTTGAGGAATGCCCATATTGTTTTCCTAAAAAAGGCTGGACCAGTCGGCATTTCCAACAACGATGAATGAGATTCCCAGCACTGGTTGTTCTTTTGCTTTTTGATTGTGCCAGTCTCTGAGAACACATCTTGAGGAAACTGTTTCCGACCGTCCAGCAGAGGGATGAGCTGCAGAGCCCTCTGTCCATTTTACTTTCTACCGCATACACTTTATTACTTATCCTCATTATTTACCTCAGGTCTCTATCCGCCAAGAGCCAAGCTGGTAATACAGAGACATCTCTCGACTCTGACAGATAATGAGCAAGCTGACATCTTCGAGCGAGTCCAGGTGAGAATATTGATGGTCCTCACAGAAAAGACATAAAGAGGCTGAGTCTTCTCATCAGTTCCTTCCACACTGCTAGGTCTGAAGTGCAAGACTTAGATCTTGCCGTACAATTAATTCCACAGTAGCTAGAATGTCACTATGACACTCAAGCTTCTGAGAACAGCCAGACTCGCGCTTTATTTGTGTTTGTCAGCCAGACTGTCAGTCATGATACAAGGAGGCAAGTGAGAGTCAAAGCAGCTGCCGTGCTGTGGTGAACACTGGCTTTGTCTTTTCCACAGAAACTGAAGCCAGTCAGTGACCAGGAGGAGAATGAACTTGTGATCTTACATCTGAGGCAGCTGTGTGAAGCAAAGCAGAAGACACATGTTCATATTGGAGAAGGCCCGTCGGTGAGACGTTTTCTCCTGAACCTGCTGTTGTTTGGTTTACATACTAAGTTGAGATGTCACAGGAAATATAAAGGAATTTTCTTTGCTTTCCTCTCTCATCTTTTTTCTAACTATGGTTCTAAAAGATACCAAGCCCCACCCTGCATATTATGAGTTTGAATGTTTATTTACTTATATTTTTTTAGCTTTTGGGAGTCATGCCTAGCTGTGCTAAGGGACCACTCCTGGCTGAGCTCAAGGGATCATAGGTGGTGATGGGTCTCGAACTCAGTGGGCTGTGTGAAAGGCTGGTGTATTACCCCCTGTACTACTGAATTTGTGCTATTTTTTGGTTTATATTTAGTTTGGGGTCCATAACCAGCAGTCTCAGGGTTTACTCCTGGCTCTGCACTCAGAGATCACTCCTGGTGGGGTTCATGAGACCATATGAGAAGGCAGAGATTGAACCCAGGTTAGCTGTGTGCAAGGCAAATGCCCTACTCACTGTACTATTTTTCTCGCCCTACCCCTATACTACTAAATTTAAAGAAAACTTTAGCAAGGCACATGGAGATAAATTAATCATTTTATCCTCTCCCAGTTCCTTCTGTTTGTTGCTGTTATTTCAATAATCAGAGGTCACACAGCTTAATTATAAGCTTGGAGGTAGGGGAAGTCCACATAGTTGTGGTGTTTTCACACATTCTGATGTTAATGCTCACAGGGGTCCCTGTGTCGGTCACACATGTGCTTGCTGTGTGTCGCACTGCTGACTGGCACATCTTTGGTTGTGGTACTTACTGAGGCTGCAGACCTTTGTGGCTGTGCTCACATATGACTGTGTGCCAGAAATTGCACACTTGGTCATTGAGCCAGAGATCCCAGATGAAAGAGCAATCTGGATCATGCTTATCATATGTGGGTGGCATTGGAAAGCAAACTCAAGGCCTCACGTGTGCTTATCAACGCTTTTAGCCACAGAGTAATCCCCAAGTTGGTTTTGAAATGTAGGGACCAGAGTGACAGCACAGCGGGTAGGGCATTTGCTTTGCACGCAGCCAACTGGAGTTAGATCTTCAAAATCTCATATGGTCCTCCAAGTACTGCCAGGAGCAATTCCTGGTTGCAGAGCCAGAAATAACCCCCTCCCACCCAAATGTAGAAGTGGAACTAGAGAGATAGTATAGTGGGTAGGGCATTTGCCTTGCACATGGCTGACCTGGACTTGACCCCTGGTGCCCTTATGGTACGCCAAGACCCACTAGAAGTGATCCCTGAGTGCAGATCCAGAAGTAACCCCTGAGCACAGCAGGATGTAGTACAAACAGAGAAATACAGAAGCATTTGTGATTTGGATACAAAAATAGTATCAACAAAAATTCACAACTTTGAGTGATACATATTTTTAATTGTTTCTTCTTTAAAAGCACAGGCAACCTGCTTTTAATCATACGTAAAAGCGAACACTTGAAGAAGCAATAATGGCATCCCACCAGCTCTTCAGAACCCCTAGCTACAGATGAAGGGATGGAATTTTTGAGCTTCTGACTTAGAATGTATTCCCAGATATATTGAGATTAGAGATTCCCAAACGTATTTGGTCTACCTCTCCTTTTCAGAATAAAACTCATTTAGTGTCAGTAAGTAAACCAACATTAACCTCCCACTTGTACCCTGCTAGCATGACCCCCCACCCCCACCCTCATTGTTTTAGTGCTTTTTGAGGGGTACATCAACCCTATAAAGCAGTCCCGGTGTATTTACCTCTTAATAGCACACATGAGGCTATATATCTAAGACATTCAGAACAAATTACTTTCCTGTGCCCTGTTCCCTGAATCTTTATTATTTCTCATGCCCTGCCCCCATCCTCCAGGTTTTATTATTTTCTGATACCATCCCAGTGTTGAAAAATCTTCACCCCAGTCTTTGTCCCCCTTTTTCTGCCTCTCTAAATCTGGTCTGTCCTTTTTGCCTTAATCATTGATACCTACTACCAAGACTCATGCTTCCAGATTTGGTCCTCCATGTTGCTTTTTATTTAATGCTTAATATGGATGTATTCTTCCCCAAGCCAGTGGCAGACTCTGTCTTCTGGAATGTGTTTGGCTCCTGTACTGTCATAGTGTCAGTTCCATAGGATAAAATCATATAGAGAGAATGTAGTATAGTGGACACAGTATGGAATTTCATGTATCTCAGAACTGCCAGAAACCACTTTTCAGTGTAAAACTAAGTGATCCAGTCACAAATGAAAATTGAATTACGACAGTGGCATTAGCAGAATTTAGCTTTACTGGAAAACTCTTTTTTTCTTTGAAATTTGTTTCCTGTGTTTTTCTCAATAACTTGACTACAAAATATACAAGTTGGAACTGTTAAAGCTGTTAATCATTATAAAAGCAAAGAAAAACTGAGAGTTCAAATTTAATATTTGTGAAAAGCAGCAGAATTATTAGTGGAAAGTAAAGTCATAGAGGAAAGATCTTATTTTATTAATTACTTATAATATTATCACTTGTCTTTTTAACATGCCTGTCTATAATATGAAACCTGGATTATTTTTATTAGAGCTATTGAATAATTCTTGTGCTTTTTAGTGGCTTTGTTATAACCCTGTCTTTAAAACTTGATTTATCCCTGACCAGTTCCTAAATCAAGTTTATCTGGTTATTCTTTCTACAGACCATTTCAAACATCACAATTCCAGAAAATTCAACAAGCAGTGGAAGATTCAAACTTGACATCCTGAAAAATAAAGCTAAGAGATCCTTAACTAGCTCCTTGGAAAATATTTTCTCAAGGGTAAGATTAAAATGAGGCTGTTTTTGATAATAATGTTTGTGCTTTGTAACTGCCTTGTTACCTCTTCAGATGGTTCACAGAAGTTTCTTTCTTCTCCCTCCATACCCAAAAAAGTGAGGTAACTTATTTAGTTAGCACTTATTTAAATTAATATTGCAAATTAAGTTTCATACTCAAATTTATTTTGGAGTGTCTAATAACTGATCTTGAGTAATAGGGTTATGTATAAAGATAGAACTATATAGAAAAGGCATAATGATAGGGCGTTTGCCTTGCGCACAGCCAGACCGGCAGAGCTGGGTTCGATTCCTCCGCCCCTCTCAGACAGCCGAGGAAACTACCGAGAGTATCTCGCCTGCGCGGCAAAGCCTGGCAAGCTACCCGTGACATATTCAATATATCAAACACAGTAACAAGAAGTCTCAAAATGGAGACGTTACTGGGCCCACTTGAGCAAATCAGTGAACAACGGGAGGACAGTGTTTGTTTGCGTTTTGATGCCTAAAAAATTTGATCTTTTGCCTCATAAAATTATAAAGAAGTCCTTCTTTCACTCATTTTTAGGAGCTGATAGCAACTTCTGAAAATAAGTATGAAATACTTGAAAAATTTGTATTCCAGGGGACAGAGACATAGTATATTTGCTTTGCAAAGCTGCTGATTTGGGAAGATCCTTGGTATCACATATGGTCCCTTGATCATTGCAGGGGTCATTTCTGAGTGCAGAGTAGCCCCTGAGAATCTCCAGAGGCCCAATTACCCTTCCCCCCACAAGAATTATTTAGATCCTATTTCATAAATTTGTATGTTTCATTTTCAGGTTTTTGGGTGAATGGTTTTTGGGCCATACCTGGTATTACTCAGGGTTTCTCTCAGCTCTGTGCCCATGGGCTGCTTCTACTGGTGCTTGAGGATGGACCATGTGATACTGGAGATCAAACCTGGTCCTCTTGCATACAGAGCGTGTGCTCCCACCCTGGAACTAGTCTCCAGTCTTCGATAGGCTGTTTTGAAATGAGCAAGATGACTCCCCCTGTCCATTTTCCCTTCCTGAGATGATTCTCCCTAATGCTAGAGCACGTCAATTTTTAGGGGAGATGTCTTGGAGCTAGAGGGTAGGAAAAAGCAATTCTTGTTTTTTGGGGGGCAAGCGGGGTCCACGTGAAGTCGCCCCTCACGTCTTTACTCAGGAGACCATGCAGTGCTTGGACTTGAACTTGGGTCTCTAGCTTACAAAGATTGTGCTCCAGTCCATTGAGATTTCTCTGGCCTCAGCAGTTGTTTTCTCATCACTAAAGCTGGTGTGACAGGGCCGTGGGCCCCCTGGGTGACCCTGACATTGCCTGTGGTGGGGAACAGATGGTGCCAGGGATCTACCTCAAGGGCTGCTTATTTTCGAAGCATGCACTCCCTTTGAGCAACCTCCTGGGCCCTGCTGGGTGAGGATTTTAACAGAGCGCCTATTTAAGTAGGTGGTTGGGGAACCTTAGCCCTAGAAGATTTTATGTTTATGATATTTGAGCAAATTATCTTCTTTTTTTTCTCTGCCAGCTTCTCCCTTTGTGAAATAGGCATGCTCAGACTTGCTTAGCTCACATAGTCACGAAGACGGAAAGTCAGTAAATGAGGAAAGAATCCCACAGTAGGGAAGAGGCAGTCCCTAGCATACTGAGCTCGGAAACCTCTCTCGTGATGAAGCAACGAGAGATATTTCGAGCCTTCCTCACCTTATCGCCATGAAGGACCTTGGCATTCTGCTCAGGGCTTGCCCTCCTGCCTTTGAAGTGCCTCTTACGCAGCCCTGAGCTGGAAGGACACGAAGCAAGGACACCACCAGCCTATTTTGGTCAAGGTGGAATCCATCACTTTTGTCTTCCAAAGTGCTGCCAAGCCTCATAAATTATGTGAGCTCACAAGGACTGGCGTGCACCATGTGCAGCCGAGCAGACTTGGTTAAGTTGGCAGCTACCCATGTCAGAGTAAAGGTTACTGAGAAAAGGCGCCTGTGTACTTCTCAACGTTGGCAGTCAGCTTTCTCTCACTTGAGAGAATGTGTCATCCAGTTTTATAGTAAAACAGACACAGGAGCAGAAAGGTTGGCTCATCGTGACTACCATTTCTCTTCATTTGTTTATTGGTTTGGGGGCCACACCTGGCAATACTCAGTGCTGACTCTGGACTCTGCGCTAAAGGGATCACTCCTGGCAGGCTCTGGGGATCATATGCAGTGCCAGAGATGGAATCTGGGTCGGGCTTATGCTACACAAGCACCCTACCCATTGAACTCTCTCCAGCCCCATCACTGCCATTTTAATATTTAATTTTTTATTATTATTATTTTTTAATTGAATCACCGTAAGATACAGTTGCAAGCTTTCCTGTTTTAGTTTCAATTATACAATGATCAAACACCCATTCCTCCACCAGTGCACATTCTTCACCACCAATGTCCCCAGTATTCCCCCGCCCCCCCTTTCAAACCCTTTCCCTGCCTCCATGGCGGACAATTTCCCCCATACTCTCTCTCTACTTTTGGGCATTATGTTTTGACTGCCATTTTTATTTATTTATTTATTTATTTTAATTTTATTTTTGGGCTTTTTGGGTCACACCCGGCAATGCACAGGGGTAACTCCTGGCTCATGCACTCAGGAATTACTCCTGGCAGTGCTCGGGGGACATGGGGTGCTGGGAATCAAACCTGGGTTGGCCGCGTACAAGGCAAACACCCTACCCGCTGTGCTATCACTCCAGCCCCTGACTGCCATTTTTAAATGCAAAATATTTTCTTTAATAACTCTGGTTGTTTATGAAACCGGCTACATTTTAAAAACGCTTAGGAGCTCAACTAATTAGCTCTTCAGTACTAGGTACAAGGAAAAAAGTTCAATCTCTACTGTATTACCAAATTGTAATATAGTAAAACTGAAAAATTCTTTGTTCAAAGGTGAAAGAACAGAAGTTCATATTTTGATGCCTTGTTGAAGTTTTCTAAAAGAAACACGCATTTATTTAACAACATGTGTATTTCTTAAAGAGAATTGTGTACTATTAAGTGTGAGTCACTGAAGAGCAGCCCTCATCTTCTGCTTTTGAACCAGAGTCATTGTCGTCCCTTATTGATATGTGTGTGATATTGATGTCCTAAGGTTTAGTCTTTTCCCCCTAGATCCCCAAAAAAGTATTTCATCTTAATAAAGTTATGTTGAAACTAAAGGCTTTAGGAATGTTTGCAATGGAAAGGGTCCTCTGGAAAGGGAAGAAGACAGCAGAAATGGTGACAGAGTCAGACTAGGTCTTGTATAAAGGGAAGGATGACTTCAAGTGCAGCATTAAGTGTTTGAAGTCATTTCACAGAAAATTGTGCAACCTAACATAGGCGCTGAAGTTATACTTCAGTCGACTCCAGACTTGTGGACATAGATGTTGAAGTGTCACCCAATCCCCTCAGCCTAAATGGGCCATCAGCCATCAGCTGGGATCCTGTCTCTGAGCAGTTATTTGTATTGGTTGAGTGTGTGCAGGGCCTGAAGTGGTCACTTCGAATCACGTGTCTTTAGATGGAGAGTAACCACTGTGAAAGGCTGGACCCCAAGGTCCTATGAGAGCTAACTACTGATATCCTAGATTTTGAGGCAACAGCTTAATAAACATTCTGGGAATCCTGTTAGACAGAATAGTTTAAGGATGTAATGAGAATGTTGTGGCGAGGAAGTGGCTGGTGCCCTTCTATTAATTTTTGTTTGGTTACTCTTCTATGTTTAATTTCCCATCCTGTAACATAGAGTTTTAAAGTAAGTTTTTGTTCTTTCTGCATGAGGGAAAACAAAAACAAAAACAAAAACACCCAACCAGTCAAGCACTTGGATAAAACAGCACTATTGTTTCCTAGCATGAGAATGACTTGATTCCTGTCTGTTTTCCCTAGGGTGACCAAATTGCCATGTTAAGATAACCAGGCAGGGTCAGAGTGATGGTATAGTGGGTAGGGTGTTTGCATTGTATGCTGGTGACCTGAATCTGATCTGAGTTTGATCCCGGGCACCCCTGAGCCCCCTGACGACAGAGCCAGGAGTAAGCCCTGAGTACTATGGGGTGTGGCCTAAAAACAAAAGATAATCAAGCAGATGGGTATTTGAGTTGAAGTTTAAATGATAGCCAAGAACTGGGGAAATAGTTTAAGGAAATAGCACTTGTCTTACCTTGCTCCGGAGATGTTCTTAGTTTGATTCCCAGCACCCACTAACTGTGAGTCCTCCCTCCCATTCACCCACCCCACAAACAACTCACTGCCCCCTATATAACAGAAAGCAACCTAGACTTTACTGTATGTTTGCCTTGTCACATCACAGCAACAAAGAGAACTAAAGAAGAAAGAAATTTGATCAGGATTTAGATCTGCAGAATTACACTTAAACAGACAACTACGTTTTTTTTCTGACAATTCTGCTTTTCTGCAAAGCTTCATCTGCAGGAGCGAGCGCTGGAGAAGCGCTCAGGACCTTCACTTTTTAGTTACACTTCCTGAGTTAAAATTGCTCTAATGTGTGTAAGCTTTGCCAACATAATCAGAACTTTACTTCCCTTATCTGCAAAGTTGAGCTAATTAAGTCTACTTCATGCGAATTAAATGAGATTATCCAGTATAGAATGCCTAGCATACTGTAAAGGCTCATGATTATGTATTCAGCAATATTGTATCAGCTGTTTGTGTGTGTGTGTGTGTGTGTGTGTGTGTGTGTGTGTATGTGTACATATGGATGAACATATTTCTGGACACATCATAAAACACTCCCTACCCATTTTCCATAATTACCACACCGTATTTGGTGGGGTTCAGACAGTAGGCAACAAATCATAGAGGGACATCACTGTCACTGTCCTCCCATTGTACATCGATTTGCTCCAGTGGACCCAGTAACATCTCCACTTTGAGACTTGTTGTTACTGTGTTTGGCACATTGAAGACGTCACTGGTAGCTTGCCCGGCTTTGCCTTGCGGGCAAGATACTCTCCGTAGCTTGCCAGGCTCTCTGAGAGGGGCGGAAGATTCGAACTTGGGTTGACCATGTTGGCTGCGTGCAAGGCAAATGCCCTACCCACTGTGCTATCACTCCAGCCCATAGAGGGACATATATATATATAATATTATATATAGATAGATAATAAGATGTCCAAGATATATCTTGGACATCTTGGACATCTTATTATCTCATTCCTACTTTGGACAAACTGGCAGGCTACCGAATATAACCTGCCCACACGGCAGAGTCTGGCAAACTCCCCATGGCATACCCAATAGGCCAAATACCAGTAACAATGATGGGTCTCATTCTCCTAACTCTGAAAGAGCCTTGAATATGGCACTTTTTAAAAAATCTCAGGGCTAGGACGAAGGAGACATTACTGGAGCCTGCTCGAGGCAATCAATGAATAACAGGATGGTTGTGATCGTGATCGTGATCTTGGAGAGCCTGGCAAGCTACCCGTGGCATATTTGATATGCCATAAGCAGTAACAATAACGGGTCTCATTCCCCTGACCCTGAAAGAGCCTCCAATATGGCAGCATTGGGAAAGACAAGTAAGGAGAGGCTGCTAAAATCTCAGGGCTGGGATAAATGGAGACATTACTGGTGCCTCCTCAAGTAAATCCATGAACAACGGGATGGCAGTAATACAGTGTATATATACACAAATAGCTTATAACATATGTGTAAATATTTGGTTTATATGTACATATGTGATTTTAGGCACAACCAGCAGTGTTCAGGTCTTACTCATGACTCTGTGCTAGGGATTACTCCTGGCAGAGCTTGGGAGATCATATGTGGCACCAGAGCTCAAACTGGGGGTGGTTGCATACAAGTGAAACATTTTAATTTCTGTATTACCTCTTCTGCCTCCCCCTTAAAAAATAATTTTATAATTCATTTAGCAGTTCTTTAGGGAGCCACCAGGAATGTAAGCCATAATTAGTATACATAGATAGGAATAAATGTTTCTCCTACAAACGAAATACCAAAAGTATGAAGTCAATTTGAGAACAAGTATAAATTCTTAAAACTTTCTGATAGTAGACATAAAATGAAATTTTTAATTTACAGAAAGCTGGAGTTGAAAGATTCTTCCAGAAAGTAAAGCAAATGACCCAGAAATGAGAAACAAGAGAACGTGGTAAAAAAAACTAAAGGATCCATCTGGAGATCCAAATGCCACCTCGCTCTTGTTTGGTTTCAGGAAGAAGGAAATGCATACAGAAATATTCCAAGAAATCATTTTAGAAATTTCTCAGAGCTAATGCACTCGTGTTTCCAGATTTAATAGGCTCTTCTAGAAAACATACAATAACAAGGACTGAATAAAGCCATGCCGGAACACACCATTGTGAAATTTCAGAATGCTCCAGGGTAGAGTTAAAATCTGTTCCAGGGAGAAATAAATAGGCCACACATACACACACAGACTCAGAATCGCAATGTCATTAGACTTTGTGCCTGAAGACACTTGAGTAACGCTAATATATTTTGAAGGTAAGTTTTTGATCAAAATTATATGCTTGGCCAAACGATAATTTCACTTCAAGTGTAGAATAATGCAATTGATAGACATGTGAGTAAAAACTAAATTCTCCTCAGCCTCCTTTTCTCAGAAAGTACTTGGAGCTTATGTTCCACCAGAATAAGGAAGTAATCTGAAAAAGTGGAAGACAGAATCATTGATACAGAAATCCCAACACAGAGTTACAGGAAAAGAGATTTCTGGATTGATAGTGATGGAAAATGCTGGAAAGATTTATTTAGCAAGCAAATTGCCATCAGCTCAGACTGTGTCAGAAATACTGGGGTGTCCATAGTGGTAACTCAGAAAGAAAAAAATTATTTTAAAATTATTATTATCTTAAGGTTTTGAGCCACATCTGGCAAAACTCAGGGTTCAGTCCTGCTTCTGCACTCAGTAATCACTACTGCTTGGGGAACCATATGGGGTGCTAGGGGCTGGCATATGTAATTTGCAATCTACCCACTGTACTATCTCTCAAACCTCGAAGAAAAAAAAGTATTGTAAAGATAGGTGACACTGAGCTTTGTTGTAGACTTTCGTAAAAAAAAAAAAAAAAGTGATAGCCCTTAACTCCATGGACAAAATTATACAAGATGTGAATTTTAATGATAGTGCCTGTGACATAATATTTGCAAAATCATAAAAATCTAAACACAAAATAATGATTTATTTTGTGTTTATATATAATTGTGATATATATATAATTTTGTGATATATATATAATTTTAAGAAAGAATCCTGAAAGAGGGAATTATGAGGATGGTAATTGAATTCAGAATACTCAAAGTCTCACCATCTGGAGTGGGAAGTCTCAATAGATAATGTCTAGAATAAGACAGTCAAGAAATAAAACTGCAAACGGGATAACAAAAGCATCAACAATAATTTCAAGTTTTTGCTTTTATGGGAATAGGATTTAGTCCATGAAAAGGGGTTTGGGACTTCATTATAGATCTTTGAAAATTGATGCAGTTTTAATTTTAATTAAAATTTAAATAATATGCCAGAGAGTTGTTCTAGGGGTGAAGACACTTGCCTCATACAGCTGACCCTGGTTCTAGCCTCAGCACCACCGAGGTCCCCAATTCATCGTTGGTATAGCCCTGCAGGCCCCTGAACACCTTCAGGGATGCCGAATATTTCCAGCACTGTGAGGCTGGAGCAGCACCACGTTTTTGAACCCTTGACTGAGAACTGGGAGGACCTCCTGAGGATCCAAAAAATGTGTTTTATTATATTCATTAATTTAATTAATTTATTTATTTAGGTTTTTGGTTCACACCCAGTGATGCTCAAGAATTACTTCTGGCTCTGCTCTCAGAAATTACTCCTTTGGTGCTTGGGGGACCATATGGGAGGCTGGGGATCTATCCCAGGTCAGCTGTGTGCAAGGCAAGGTTCTATCTCTTCGTCCCCAAAATTGTTTTTAAAATTAAATTTAATTCATCCACCAATTACACTCAAATGTTTATGGAGACAAACTTAATACTATAAAGTACAATACTAGCATTTTTATACATAGAATCTCACTGATTAGACTTGTATTTCCTGTTATTCTTAATAAAAATTTCTGTATGTTTTAGAGTTATGTAGAGAACTTCTTAGACTGTATTTTATCCCAACACCTGTATTGTCTTTTCTTTTCTTTCAATCGCTGGTATCAGTTTTTTCCTATACCAATGAAAGGAACTAGGTAAGATCATCACTTTGGTGTCTCTCATATCAATTATGGAATCTATACCAAAGTACTTATGTGAAAAAAGAAATAATTCATCAAAATTGAAATGGACTGTTCGAGTCTTCTAGAGAAAATACTGAGGCAGTTTTCCATTAAGGAATAGGTAAAGGTAAAGGTAAAGGCCCTCCCGTTGATCGTCGATTTGCTCGAGCGGGCCCAGTAACGTCTCCATTGGAGACTTTGTTGTTACTGTGTCTGGCATATCGAATACTCTCGGTAGCTTGCCGGGCTCTCCGAGAGGGGTGGAGGAATCGAACTCGGGTCGGCCATGTTGGCCGCTTGTAAGGCGAACGCCCTACCCGCTGTGCTATCGCTCCAGCCCTAAGGAATAATTAATGAAATACAGTGCATACATTTTAGGTTGCAGTTTTCTTTTGTTATTTGTCTGTTTTCAGTATGCAATATTATATATGGCATAATGTAGTGTGAATTAATGATGTTTGCAATCTATGTTGTGTCATTTTCCTCATACATATTGTGATTTATTGTGCTAGTCCATCTACACTTGTGTTTTATCTTTATGAAACATGAAGTTAATGGGTCTCCCACTGATTTTATGGAAGAATAATGTTTAACTGGTAACCAGAATAACTTCAAACGAGTACTTAGTCTGAGTATGGAGTTATCTCATATCCGATTTATAAATCATGGAAAAGATAGGGAACCTTGTTGGAAAGACCATTTGTTTTGCCAATGGATTTGAGTGACTTACAAAAGTCTCAGTTTAATGCTAACATGAAGAGTTTATCTACAAATGCCTTCTGTAGCTTAGAGGTGAAGTTCAGCCCACATGAACAATTTAATTTTGTTTTCTTTTCTCAGGGAGCGAACAGGATGCGAGGTCGTCTTGGAAGTATGGAGAACTTTGAAAGGTCCAACAGTCTTGCTTCTGAGAGGGTATGTGAACAGAAGTATAGTGCCCTTTTTTTCACTCTTCATTGTGGCTTGTCAAAACCCCACACAGAGTGTGGTGCTAGATTGTTTGATCCATGAAACCCCACCATTATCAGTATTATAAATTAAAAATTTAATTTTTTATTGTAAAATAAAATTAAAAAAAGAAAACCCAGGTGCCTGAGAAATAGTACAGCAAGAAGGGCGCATGCCTTACATGCCACCGACCCAGATTCTATCCCCAGCATCCCATATGTGGAGTAACTGCCAGGAGTAACCCCTAAGCATCCTCGGTTGTGATCCCAAACAAACAAAGAAACAAAATTAAAATAACGACCCAACACTGATATGGTAATGTGCATGGTTATTTTTATTACGAATCCTTTAAGACTCTTGAAAACAAATATTTAAGACTTTTATTTATTTTTTATTGTTATTGGATCACCATGAGATAGTTACAAAGTTGTTCATGATTTGGTTTCAGTCATACAGTGTTCTAATACCCAACCCTTCACCAGTGTGCATTTACCACCACCAATGTCCCCAGTTTCCATCCTACCAACCAACTTCCCACTCTTCTGTGGCAGGTACTTTTCTTCTCTCTCTCTCTCTCTCTCTCTCTCTCTCTCTCTCTCTCTGCCCTCCCTCTCCCTTTCCACTCCCCTGCTCCCCCTCCCCTCCCCCCACTCCACTTTCCGGGCTTAATGGTCTGCAATACAGATACTGAAAGGTTATCGTGCATATTCTTTTTTCAACTTTCAACACTTAGTTCTTGTCCAGAGTGATCATTTCCAACTATCATTGTGAGACCTTCTTATACTTAATGAGAAGATTGTAGGTATATGTGTTCTGTTCCTTTTTCAGTGCAAGTTTGTAACAGAACCAGTAGCTTCAGGCTGTCCGGACTGTGTTCTACTAGACTTTTTGCTGTCTGGAGGTAGGAAGTGTGTGGAGAATAGTATTTAGTACTTAAGCAACTTTAGGAACAAAACGCTTGAAGAGCCAGACACTGAATTGCTACGTTGTACAGTCATCCTTTTATCTTTTGTTCTCTCCCCATGTTACTCTCCCTCCCTTCTCATCCAGTATTTTTCAACTTTCCGTGACATTTGATTCTTTTTTTAATCTCTAGGCAGTTTTCAAAATTAGGTATGACTTCCTGTTTCCTGTATCAGGCAACATTGTTACCTGAGATTTAGGCAGTCAGCTTTCTCTTATTTTTTAATGGAAAAATATTTAAATGTTCTTGCTGAACTTGTTGCAGAGAGACTTGAGGATTTAGCCGGTTGTGGAGACTGTTAGCAGTAGCTCACGCTTATCAAGCCGGACATTTGTCCAGTGGTGCCTGTTTGGAGAGTTTAAACAGCATACCTGTCCAAATGGCAAGATTTATGACCACCACTCATGCTATGAGATACATTCCAACCTAGTCCTCTGTTCATTCATTTCCTGTTTTTCATGTCTTTTACACAATTTAACCTCAGGGACTGTGCAATCAGAAAAAAAAAAAGCCACAGTGAAGGACGATCTTTAGTTGGCTTTCTTTTATTTTCCTGAAGGCTTCGCCATGAGATTTGGACACTTCAGCATTGTGATATTGTTTTGACAGTACAGGAAACATGCAGCCGATAAGTCACGGAAATCAGTAGATATGTAAACACAGGCTCCACCCTCTGTGGGTCAGGATCTCTTTTCATCTCTGATCTCACAGAGAGGAAAGTGCTGCCTCTTGCTTACCCCAGAGTGTGAGGGCAGAGAATACCTTTCCCTTATCTTCCCTTTCACTAGCTGGCCTATCCTTACTGTCCTTAGAGGCTTATCTGGGGGTGGTGGTGGGGGAATGGGTGGTGGTGGTGGTGATGCTGATTAGCCTTCAGCTTGGATTGAGTGGGAAGAAGAAAAAAAAAAAAGGTAGGTTTGGTCCAGACCCAGGAGGAAGCAGAGGCACCCTGGCTGTCTCTTTCTGAGCTCCCGGCTGCAGCAGGCAGGCCCTAGGGGGGTCCCGGAGGAGAGATCGACCCCTTGACCGCTTGCTTCTTGCCTTGCAGGACTATTCTCCTGGAGACTCTCCGCCCGGCACCCCGCCCGCCTCCCCGCTGTCCTCTGCGTGGCACACGTTCCCCGAGGAGGATCTGGACTCGCCGCAGTTCCGAAGACGGGCGCACACCTTCAGCCACCCACCGTCCAGCACCCGGAGGAAGCTGCACCTGCATGAGGGCCGGGCCCACGGCCTGCGCTCCCCATTGCTGCGCCAGAGCTCCAGCGAGCAGTGCAGGTGAGTCCGGGCTCTGCAAGGCCAGGGGCATGCTCACCTACGGTACCCCATCTCCATCCTGGGCTCGGTCCCTACAGACTCCAGGCCCCTTGTTCGTTTATGCTGCGGCCCATGTGTCTTTGTTTAAATTTTTTTTTAGAAAGACCAAAGATTGATGGTTCCAAAAAAGTTTCTAAAAAATTAGGCAAGTTGAAAGGGGGACACACCCAAAGGATAAAAGAGTGAGAGCGAGAGCGTTTTAGGATGGAAACAAGTTGCCTTTCTCCCCCTCCAGCACAACCCTACCCCCCACGAAAAATGAAGCCCATAGCTATCAGACTGTTGTTTTTGTCGGAAAAAAAGAAACCCGCTGACAAGACTTGTTACTCAGCGTCTTCTTGTTCATGGCACAAGAGAACGAAGTCAGCAAACAGGAAAATAACGTAGCAGGAAAACTTCCTTCGAGCCGCCCGTAAAATGCAAGCGCTCAGAAAAATCTCACCCAAGTGAGCTTCGGGCAGCAGATAAGATTTGACAGTTTTCATTTCACTGTAAATGGAAGCCAAGTAGGAAAGCTGTTAATATCTAGATTAAATTGCTCTGGGTGCATATCGTGGCTGTCAGGAAGAATCTATTAGGAATTCTCTTACTCGGTGTTTCAGAAATTATTTAGTGAAGTTATTTGGTGAAAAGTTTGTAAGCAGTAATAAAGAGGGTAAAACTAGAACTGTAAAATGATTATACTTTCCATTGTGTAGCCCTAGTGAGAATTTATATCCTGGAACTAATTTTGTTCCTGCTCATTTCCTATGAGTTTGAAGTTGGAAACAGGGTATGATAAATCAAATCCCTGTTGGGAAAAAAAATAACCCAAATAGTAAGATTAATTATTTTTTATTAGTTATCAAATTTACTACCATTTCTTCCAGGGAATTTCGTCCTCATTGTTTTTGAATAACTTGCGATTAAAGAATGATAAATAGAAGATGAAAGAATTCAGAAAAGTTCATTCTAACTCAATCTTTTATGAAAAAGATGAAATATTCATATATATCTATTTTTATTTATCTCAGACATTAAATACATTTTTCCAAAATAATTATTTTCAAAGTTTTGAAACATTACTTACTGACTATAAATGATGGTATATTTCTTCCTTTAATTTTTCACATTTTATGATGTATAAGCTACTATAATTTCTATCAATATAAAATATGCTATTTCTATCATTGTGAAAGCTTGTTATAAATTAAACATTTTAAGAAAGAGATGGGTAAGAGATTTAAAGAAAGCCAAAACTGCCTAATTTCACAGACTGCAGGAAAGAATGTGTATATTCATGTTTTTTGAACCAAAGAGGTCCTGTAATGACATTTAGTTACCAAACATGCTGTTATAAAATTTTCAGAACGGTTTGTCTCTTTGAAACACTCAAGTCTTTGAACTCCTGAAACGTGGTTTTTCCTTCTGGAATTTGTTTTCTGTAATTATTTGTGTTTTTCTACTTTTTTTTTCTCTCTCAAATATGTTTTGCATGTAAAAACAAACACTTCCCCCTGTATTAAAATAGTTAAGAATTTTATAGAGAGCAACACATTTGGGTTAGAAATACTGCTTATATGGGCAACTCAATTTTATGAAACACTGAAACTAGGTCATAATCGTCTAAGTAGAAAAGTGCATGCTTCTTTTCTTTCTGTTTGAGATCGAGCCCTGATCTTTTAGAGGAAAGATTTGGTTAATAGCAAGAACCTGTTTATATGCTTTTTTTTTACATACTGAATGAATTTTGCCAAAATATAAATTAAGACAAATTTGCTGTATTTTCTGTACTCAGCATCCTACCATCAGGTCGGCGCATGCACAAGGAGACTAATTCTTCCTCCAGTCTTCCAAGTCTTCATACTTCCTTCTCTGCCCCCTCCTTCACTGCCCCCTCTTTCCTGAAAAGCTTTTACCAGAATTCAGGTAGACTGTCCCCACAATATGAAAATGAAATCAGGTGAGATCAGTGTCCTCTGTTTGCAAAGCAAAACTTTCTGCAGTGATATACTGAAAATGTTACTGGAGAGTGGCTAATTATTGTGGAGTGACATGTTTGCACCATTATACTTACAGTACTAATCCTGTTTCTAACAGACTGGTTTCAGTGCTATTTGATAAAAATTAAGAACACTTATAAAAATCAGCATTACAAAACTCTGTCGTTAGATTCTTGATGATGTGGTGATTTTACTTTGAAAAATGTTTTTAGGGGTACTATTCATGTCTTTCTTTGCCTTGGGCCCCTACATTTAAGCCTTGTTTTGTTTGGAGCAAGAAGGCCTGGTGCTAACAGAGTTAACAAGTCTCCCTCCGTCAGGCCTACTTTTTGGGTCTGCTTATTTGTTTTCAGCCTTCCTCTGTGTCTTATGGAGTCCAGAATCACTAAATGAAGGAACTGTAGTAAAGTGATTGATAGCACCTAAAATAATCTTTCTTTTTCAGTTTATAGGGTACTTGGTGGCCATTTATATGATATTTTTAAAAGTCATATTGACTATTTTTAATCACATTGTAAGTCACATGTTAGGCCATCAGGATATTGTTAGCAACTGTTTCAGATAGCCTGATGCATATTTTTGAGTCTTGAAGGCATTTGATTTTGTTTTGGTTTTGTCCCCAGTATTTAAAATATATAGTATATTAAGTTTTGTTGGTTTTTTTTATTTTTTCAGCTCCAAAAAATGAAATGTGGTAAAAATAAAGTAAAGGCCCTCCCGTTGATCATCAATTTGCTCGAGCAGGCCCAGTAATGTCTCCATTGGAGACTTTGTTGTTACTGTGTTTGGCATATCGAATACATCACGGGGAGCTTGCCAGGCTCTGTCGTGCAGGCTCGATACTCTCGGTAGCTTGCCGGGCTCTCCGAGAGGGGTGGAGGAATCGAACTCGAGTCGGCCATGTTGGCTGCGTGCAAGGCAAATGCCCTACTGCTGTGCTATCGCTCCAGCCCTGAAATGTGGTAATGTTTTTGATAGTTGTCTTTTGAAAAATTCGGGATTGTAGGGCTGGAGAGATAGTACAAAGGTAAATGTGCTTGCCTTGCACACAGCCAATCCCAGTTCAATCACTGGCACTGTATATGGGCCCCCAAGCAATTAGCACAGAACCAGTAATAAGTGCTGAGCACCACAAGGTATGGCTCCAAACCCAAGAAAAATTTTTGAAATTAAAAGTTCTTACTAATTATTCACAATTGCGGCTGGATGTTAGGAGATGGAAGGGCTAAGTTGGGAATTCATCTAAAGGGATTGTTGTTGATTTTGAAGGTTGTGGGATGCATTTCTGCTTTCTTATGTATGGCTTGGCTCATTCACTCCATTGCTGTATAGTATTCCATTTAGATGCACAAATTTGTCCACTCTCAACATTTGGGTTATTTCTGGATGTATAGTAATCAATAGTTCTTGCAGTCCGGAGAAGGACTATTTACCAAGAGGAGTACAAACTATCAACCAGTTTGTTTGGTAAAAAAGTCATCTTGGATTTTCTTTGGTCTCCTTTCTTTCAGACTTAAGAAATTCCAAAACTTTGTGTGTAATGAGGTAACCTTTAGTATCAAGTGACATTCTTCTAATTGTTGAATTATCTCTGAGTGTCTTTTATCAGCATGTGCCAGTGTATTTTTCATTCCAAGAAACATGATTAATAATGATTAATAAAATTCGTATCTAAACCTTCCTCTGAATTAGTGCAAAGTCATGTTCAAACATTGAGTTTCTTTCGAAGGGAGAAGATGAATTTAGAGTCATTTTTTTATAAGTCGAAAGGGATATTAAGAAAGTTGACCACAAAAACAGAATAATACATATGCATTATGAAATAAGCTTAGAGGTTTGTTATATGCCATGTAAAAATCTCAATTTGCCTTATTGCAGAGTACTAGTTATTAATATTACACTTCCAGTGAAACATATTTACAGTTTTAAATTGTACTTTAAAGTGAGCATCAGAAGGATTTCACTTTCCTTCCTGAAACAGCCCATACTTAATAAAAAACGATTAGAAATAGTCATGAAGAAACCTTATGGAGTGCAGCAGCGGTGGCCTTTGTTTGTTTGTTTGTTTGTTTTAAGACTAAGATTATAATAGAGCTCAAGGTTATGTATTCATCTTCAGTAGTTTCTGTTCAGATATGTATTACATTCTTTCTTACAGCTTTCCTTGGCCTTCTATACTTCTATACTGCCTGGAAGTTTATTGAAGTCGGAAGGCAAATGTTAGTTTTGCTTTTGAATATATATTCACTATTTGGTGGGGGAAAAAATACTTCTTTGAAGTGCTGTATTTAAACATGTGGAATACTTTTAAATTTGTGGAGTCGGGGCCAGAACCATAGTATAGCAGGAGAGGTGCTTCCCTTGTACACCATTGGCCCAGGTTTGATCCCCAGCATCCCACATGTTCTCCTGGGCCTACCAGAAGTGATCCCTGAGTCCAGAGCCAGGATAAAGTCCTGGCACAGCCAGGTGTGGCCCACAAACCAAAACATAATTAAATGCATTCGTAAGATCATTAACATATTTTCTGTTTCTTTGGCTCTAAGAAGTTGAAAAAGATTACTTTTTCATACAGTTTACCATATTTTTTAATCATCTTGTGGGTTGTTTCCAGTGTAGAATGAATAGACCAAAAGACACGGAAAGGTTTTTATTATTAAATTTATTTTTAAAAGGATACTCATCATAAACATGTGGCCCAGTTCATGCCCAGTGTGGGCAGCCCATCCGGGTCACCCAGTCAGTAAATGGAATACTGCCATCATCCTGCAGTTCCTCACCCCTCTTTGTGACCTTGATTGCCATCATTTCATTTTGCCTGGTTTCGAATGTAATGAAATGAAATGATGCATTCTTTGAAGTATTGCCTTTTCACTGAACATTAGCTTCCCACAGATCTAATATTCCACAAGCCTTTAGAATTTATTTCTGTTTTTTTGGGTGTGGTTTAGTTCATTCATTTTATGGCTGTATAATATTCCACCAAAATACATTGTAATTCACCCACTGGACATGTGAGTTTGTTTTAATTTTTTGTGAAAAAGTATTGCTATGGATATTATTATACTTCTTTTTCACTGTATATACACATGCATTTTTGATGATGATCAATATAATAGTAAAACTATCAGACAAAAATTCACTCAATAGGATTGTATCAATGACTTGGTCTCTTAGATAAGATCGTTAGTTCCAGTCTTAGAGAGGACTGGGGCAAGGAAATACTGCAGTGGACGTGGGTTTGATTTTTCAGCACCCTATGGTTCTATTATAATCTTAGTCTTAAAACAAACAAACAAACAAACAAACAAAGGCCACTGCTGCTGCACTCCATAAGGTCTCTTCATGACTATTTCTAATCGTTTTTTATTAAGTATGGGCTGTTTCAGGAAGGAAAGTGAAATCCTTCTGATGCTCACTTTAAAGTACAATTTAAAACTGTAAATATGTTTCACTGGAAGTGTAATATTATTAACTAGTACTCTGCGATAAGGCAAATTGAGATTTTTACATGGCATATAACGAACCTCTAAGCTTATTTCATAATGCATATGTATTATTCTGCACCCTATGGTTCCCTTACCAACACCTAGTACAGTTCTACAGGCCCCACATTCTGAGAGAGGCCTAGGTGGTGCCTGGCACTGCAGGCCTTAGCAATTTTGCATCTTTAAATCCTAGTATTGAGCTGCTGGCTTGGTTAGTGACAAATTACCAGTTGGGTCCCTGGGACACCTGAGTACTACTTGGGAGGTGACCCTCAAAATCTTATGGAGGGTATTTTAAAATTTATGTTTCAAAATAACATGATATTTACAAGAAATATGCAACAGTATTATGGAGAATTCCTACTAACCCTTTACATGAATTTTTATCAGTTTTGTCTAAATGTTTATATTTTGTGCTAGGGCTTGAATCCATCATGCATGTGTGTATAGAATATATATGCTCATGGAGTTGCACCTCTAGCTCAGATTTATCAGTTTTTCACATTTGCTTATTTGCTTTATCATTCTCCTTATCTATTCTCATATATGTACATGTTAACATATATGTAGATTTCTAAATATGCATTGCCAAGTAAGGTTAGTATATGTCACTATCCTCCCATTGTTCATCAATTTGCTCGAGCGGGCCCAGTAATGTCTCCATTTTGAGACTTGTTGTTACTGTGTCTGGCATATCGAATACGTCATGGGTAGCTTGCCAGGCTTTGCCGTCTGGGCGAGATACTCTCGGTAGCTTGCCGGGCTCTCCGAGAGGGGCAGAGGAATTGAAATCAGGTTGGCCATGTTGGTTGCATACAAGGCAAGCAGCCCTACCCACTGTGCTATCGCTCCAGCCCAAGGTTAGTATATATTAACATCCATATTTATTTCTACTAGCATATCTAATACAAATATTACTTCTTAAAAGGTTTATAATCTTAAATTCAAAATAGACATCTTTCTCTAGGACCATTATTCTGAAATTTTATAAACATGTCACTTTACTGTTTTTAAGCAGACTAGAAAAAAGGAACCAAGATATTTTTAATATCTTGGTTTATTGATTAGCTCAACTGTACATCATTTAAATGATAAAGGAAAGAAAATAAAACTATTTGTTTTAACTTTGAAGTACTTAAAATTTGTATTTTATCATTTAGTGATTAAAGGTATAGTTATGATGATAAGGTATATTATCATAATATTTATTTATCAAATAATATATCAAATATCTATTTCATGACCAAGCATTTTTGGTCCTTATAATTGCTTCTCAGCTTTTAATCCTATAACTAAAAGTTTATTTATATTGAACTTTATTGGTTAACTGTTATTTCTTCCATTTATTATGAGTATTTTTAGTGAGAAAATAAGGTATTGCAGACAATGTGCCTTTGCTACAATTTGGGGTCCATAGTTCTCTCATAATTATTCATTTTTGATAAAATATTGCCTAAACATTCTTTATGGGT